GAAAACTGTTTTGAGAATGTTAAAACAATGGTGGCGAATGTTGTTAAGCTATTCAGAAAACTGTTGTTAAAATTGACGTTATACCATTACTACATCTTTCCTTGAAAAAATGATAAAACTTGAAAATAAAGATTGTCAAAAAAAAAAAAAAAAAAAAGATCGTAGAATTTTAGAAATCACCTTTTGGGGACGAATAAATGTGATTAATTCATACATAATTCCAAAGTGGAACTATATGTTCCAAATGCTACCTCTTCATATTCTGACTCATTGGCTTGAGTTAATACAAAAAAGCTTCACTCAATATATCTGGAAAGGTAAGAAGCCAAGATTAAAACAATCAATATTAGTACAAAATATATATAAGGGCGGACTTGCTTATCCATTCATAGTGAATAACTTCAAAGCAGCTACTATTTTGCATATCTATAGAATGCAAATAGAAGAAAACACAAATGAAGGATGGTATAAGATGGAAATGAGGGCAGGAGAAGTTCCTAGCTTAGATTGTTTAATTATGAACATAGATAAAATCTAAAACAAAAAAAAATATGCCAATGCTATTTTGACTCAACTATTAAAAAACTGGTTTAAAATAAAAAAAAGCATTAAACATAGAAAAAAAGTCCCGAGCTACTTGAAATTAAACATTGTAGAAAACCAAGTGGAAGACTTAAATCTTAATAATTGGAAAAAATTAGGGATACTACGATTAGAATATTTATTGACAGAAGGAACAATTAAAACTTTTGCCCAAATAACAAGTCTATACAATCTTCCATCTGGAGAAGTGTTCAATTTTCTTAGACTCAAAAGTTACATGTCTACACACCTTATCATACCAAAATCGAACGTAAGCAGTTTGATTGACTTATTATTCACCTAAAAAAAAATCAATAAACCACTTTCTAAGGCTTTAATACTAACCAAATCTAGCGTTAAGGATATAAATCCAACAGCCATATCAGCATGGAAAAAAGATTTAAGTATTGATATCAATATGAAACAATGGGGTTCTTCAATGATAGATGTTAAGAAGAACATACATTCATTAAATTTGTTGGAAACACACTTTAAAGTCTTAAATAGGTGGTACTTGGTTCCGGCGAAATTAAATAAAATATACTCTTTAACTAATCCTATTTGCTGGAGATGTAAATGTGCTAGAGGTTAATTCAAACAAATCTGGTGGGACTGTCATAAATTAAGAAATCTTTGGTTGATAATACAAAAATTAATATCCAAAAATCTAAAACTCGAGTTGAAAATTTCTCCAGAGGTTGATTTGCTACATTTAAATTGGCCACCTATGGTGTATGAATTAAAAGTAATCCTTATACACCTTTTTCTAGCTGTTAAAATAGTGGTTGCGAGATGGTGGAAAAAAGATTTAGAAGTCCCCTGGAAGAATGTAAAAAACCAACTCGAGTTTCAGATAAAAATGGAGTTGATGCTGAGTAAACAAAAATTAAGCAAAAAAGCATCTGTCTGGATGAAATGTCTTAAGTTGATCGATATGGAAATTATTTGTGATTAATTGAAGGTATTTTGCATACCTTGAACAATGAAAATATATAAGCTATACCTGAACCTTCCTCCACTCTACTTATAGTAATTTTGTTGTATATTTTGCTGCTACACTGTCTTGTGTCATATTGTAAATATGTATAATATGTATATATTATCAAATACTTAATGTTAAATTGTATTTTAAAGAGGTCTATATATTCCTCTTTCTCTGCGAACAAGATCTGTAGGAAATGAATATTGATTACAGAATGTACAAATATTACAATTTGTTAAATGTTTAAAATAATTGAAAAGAAAGAAAAAATAAAGATTTAAAAAAAAACAAATGGAGATTTGGTATCCGATATTACTGTAGGTGAAAGTTTAGGATCCAGTGATCATCAGTCAGTGTGGTTTAATATAAGAACAGTGACGGAGTCACACCACACAAAAACAAAAGTTTTAGACTTTAGAAAAACAGACTTTTCTAAAATTAGAATATATGTAAAGGAGTCATTATCAGACTGGAGCAGTTTAAATGGAGTCCAAGAGAAATGGGATTATTTAAAAGTTGCACTGCTGAAGGCAACAGAAAATCGCATTAGGCTTGTCAGTAAAAGCAAAAAATTTAAGAAATCCCTTTCGTACTCTGCAGAAATGGCCAAAATAGTATAAAACAAAAACTTAGCATTTAATAATTATAAAAAAACCAGAGTGAGGAAGATAGACAGATCTATACGTTTAGGCAGAAAGAGGCTAAGCCAGTTATAAGAGCTTCCAAATCACACACAGAAGAGAAAATAGCACAGTCAGTTTAAAAAGGGGACAAAACATTTTTTAGATTTATAAATGAGAAAAGGAAAGTAAAACAAGGATTAGTTAGATTAAAAAACGAAAGAAGGAAGGTAGAAGAGGATAAAGGTCTAGCTGACTGCCTCCATGAATATTTTTGTTCATTATTTACAGATGAAAATGAAGGAAAGGGACCTCAGTTATGTAAAAGGACAAATTAGAAATTTGTTACGTGTGAGTTTACAGAGGAAGAGGTTCTATTTTAACTGTCAAAAGTAAAGACAAATAAGTCAATGGGACCTGATGGAATACACCCGAAGTTATTAAAAGAGCTTAGTGGTGTACTAGCAAAACCATTAACAGATTTATTTAGCAAATCATTAACAGGAGTAGTCCCAGAAGATTGGAAGTTAGTGAATGTTGTGCCCATTCACAAGAAAGGTAGTAGGGAGGAGTCGGGCAACTATAGGCCAGTACGCCTTACTTCAGTAGTGGGGAAAGTAATGGAAACCATGTTAAATGATAGGATTGTTGAACATTTAAATCACATGGATTTCAAGATCAAAGACAACATGGGTTTACTTCAGGGAGATCATGCCAAACAAATCTTATTGATTTTTTTGATTGGGTAACTAAAATATTAGATCAGGGTGGTGCAGTAGGCATTGCTTACATAGATTTCAGTAAGGCTTTTGACACTGTTGCACATAGAAGGCTAATGCAATCTTTAATTTGGATTCCAATATTGTTGAGTAGGTAAGGAAGTGGCTGAGTGAGGGTTGAGGCAATGGAGTATATTCGAAGCATGGAAAATGTACATATGTATTGGCACTCTCCCATCTGAAGTGGATCTGGTATCATGGTAGCCCATGAATTACATCTTAGAAAAATATAGTAATGATGTGTGATACCGCACTCTTAAAACCATATGGTACTATAAGTATCTTATGAGGCAGATACCTACAAACATATAAGAAAAAAGAGGGAAAAAAAGAAAAAACTATTGAAAAAATATGGAAGAAATGAAAAATATGTTGAATATATATATAAAGTCCCAGTGTGTACACACTAAAAATAAACAAAAAAAATCTGAATCCAAAATGCTTTAGTACAGAGGAAGTCCCTTATTGGGCAGATCTCACCCCTTCCAGTTGGTAAGTCCTCTTAGAATGTACAGTCCGATTTTCCTGAAGTTTGCAGGGGGTGTCTGAAACCAGTGTGGCTGGATGGTGCTGTAAGAGATGTCCAAACTTGTGACTTTGAAAGCTGCCGTGGGGGATATCTGAGCTGTGCGCTCGGGACTTAACCGTCCCTTCGATGGCCTTAAATTGTGCAATGCATAAGCAAGACTTATATTTGCTGTATTTCGGCACGCCCACCTTTTCCCTTTTTAGATTTGAAGCATGGTCTTGTCAACACTGGGGTACCTCAGGGATCTGTACTTGGACCCATTCTCTTTAATATTTTTATTAGTGATATTGCTGAAGTTCTTGATGGTAAGGTATGAGATATGTAACAGTGTTGATGTTCCAGGAGGAATACGCCAAATGAAAAATGATTTAGGTAAACTATAAAAATGGTCAGAGTTGTGGCAGCTTACATTTAATGTGGATAAGTGCAAGATAATGCATCTTGGATGTAAAAACCCAAGGGCAGAGTACAGAATATATGATAGAGTCCTAACCTCAACATCTGAGGAAAGGGATTTAGGAGTAATTATGTCAGATGATTTAAAGGTAGGCAGACAATGTAATAGAGCAGCAGGAGATGCTAACAGAATACTTGGTTGTATTGGGAGAGGTATTAGCAGTAGAAAGAGGGAAGTGCTCATACCATTGTACAGAACACACTTGAAGTATTGTACGCAGTACTGAAAACCATATCTCCAGAAGGATACTTTTTCATTTCTCATGATATTTTTGTCGTGAGAATTGTATGTTAAGAAGATATTTCATCCCCCCGACATCACCCCCAAAAATACAATTTCAAATAGATAAAATCTTTCTAAAATGCTCCTAAAGACTGTGCTGGAATTTCACTGAAACTAAATTGCAACCCAGTTAAAAGATATTATAAGACAAAGTAGGGACTACTGTGTTTTTCCTATGCTTGTCAAAGCTTGACAAAAAGGCAGAGCTACCACTATCAAGCTTTGTCAAGCCCTCAGTCATTATTAGTGACAGCTGAGGGAAAAAAGGCTCTGTCTATAGAGGATCCAGCGATCTTGCAGGATCCTCCTTAAACAACATTGTTTTACTATTGTGCAAGAATAAAGTGCTAATGTTGGCTCCTGGCAGATGAAGAACCTCATGGAAGAAGATGGCAGCCCCCCTGCCCCAATCGCAAAGGAACCTAAAGACATTTTTATAAATTAAAATATTATTTTATATAGTGATCCTTATGCTCAGAATACTCAGAATCTACTTGTTTCATAGGGGGTGGTGGGGCCCTCTGCTTGCATTTTTATGTATTTCTTCCACTCCCTACTCATGATGTTGGTAGTTAAGAGAGGGTATATATATATATATGTCAGAAGATTAGAGACAACCTTTTTTTTTTTCAATTTGACAATTTTTATTTTTCAAGTTGAATGGGGGGTACAGAATGAAAAAAGGGGGAGGGGATAGAGTCAGATATACAATCAAATATACAATACAGTTATACAATACCGTTACTATATGTAGCCTGTGCTAGTTTGCGTTTCTTGTGTGCAAAATTACCGTATCCCTAGTGAGTGCTATTATTTCTGGTGTGCGGTGATGCTATTGGTCAATCATTGCATAACACAGAGGCTTTAACAAGAGTGTATATATACGTTAAGTATTTTACTATGAATACTGTGGATGCTTTGGCTGTGGACGCATAGAGCTACCAATGCGACTTATGCGGGAGTAGGCGTGTGTATGCACTATACAGTATTCTATGCTCTGTTCCCTATAACCATTATTTCATAGTCAGCCGGCTACTTTGTCCAACTGAGTAGGGCCTAGGCTCTTGTTTTGCTTCCTATTTCTGTATTGCATTGTTTGCATATACTCGACTCTTCCAGGGGTGAGGGGTGGAGGGGGGGGGGTGGTGCGGGGGTCTCTCAGAGGTGGTGTTCTCTTGCGCTATGGGGAGAATGGTTCACGTTGGGGGAAAGTCAGTGTGCTGTTTCATGGGGTGTCAGTTTGTGTGGACGTGGGTAGACACTCTTTAGGTACGGTTTGTGTTGTGTGGTTGGACAGGAAATCCGTCCACATGACATGGGCTTGTTTCAAGTGTTTTTTAGTGCCAAATTGGTTCGCAAATGCTGTTTCATAGACCCAGTTGAGTGTCACCTGCTGTATAAGGAGTCCCCTGGTTGGGATTGCTACCTGTTTCCAAAACCTTGCGATAAGTGTCGCCGCTGATATTAGTACGTGATACATGGCAGTCCACGTGGCCTTGGCAGTCCCGTCTGGGGGGATGAATAAAATGCAAAGTTCTAGGGTGAGGGTCACCTGAGTACGTACAATGTTTGATATGACATTTTGGACTTCGTGCCAGAAGGGTTTGATATTTTCACATGTCCACCAAACGTGTGTCATAGCACCCCTTTGGTGTCCGCACCTCCAACATTTGTCTGTGGATTGCGGCCACATGTGGTGGATTCTGGCTGGAACTAGGTACCAACGGTACAGCAGTTTGCGCTGTAGCTCCAGATGGGTGGCACAGGAAGTTATTCCCCTATGTGAGGTGTATGCCTTGTCCCATTTGTCCTTTGTTATGGATCTACCTAGTTCTGAATGCCAGGATTGTATATGTGTGTCTTTGGTTGTGTCTGCCTTCTGTAATAGTAGGCTGTAGTTTATGGATATTAGTTTTTTTAGCGGTTTTCTGTGCGTGCACAGAAGTTCAAATTCAGATAGTTGCTCTCGGGCGTTAGCGTTGTTGGCGTTGGGTTTGTTCTGAGATAGGCATGATTTGATCTGCAGGTAAGGGAAAATCAGTCTGGAGGAAAGATTGTACTCCCTCTGAATGTCTGGGAATGGACGGAGTTTGCCTCCCTCATACAGCTGTCCCACTTCAGTTATCCCCCCTTGTTGCCATGGTTTTTTGTCCCATGTTGGTATTAGAGTGGTCAGGACTTCTAGCGGGGTAGCTAGAGGCACAGGGAGGTAATGAACTAGGTGGTGCCTGGAGGCGTCCCAGTGGTGCAGTATGTGTTGCGTTGTGGGTAGTAGATGCGTGGTGTCCTGTCTGTGGGGCTTTGGGGTCCAGAACAACCTTTGCAGCGTTGAAGGTGCTGCCCAGTGGTTTTCTTTGTGGAGCCACTGTGGTGACGTTGGTTGTGGTCTTAGTTGCGGCACAATTGTTAGTGCCGCCGCTTTATAGTATGCAGTTATGTCAGGGAGACCTAACCCACCCTGTGTTTGGTGCCTTTGTAGGAGTTTCGTCGCAACCCTAGGCTTCTTATTACTCCATGTGAAGGCTATTAGTTGTTGCGAGAGTGATTTTAGGAAGGTTCCTGGGACGGGGATTTGCAGTGTTCTGTATAGATATTGCAGTTTCGGTAATAGGGACATTTTGATGGCCGCTATGCGGCCCACCCAAGACAAGTATTTCCCCTCTCATGACTGTAGCGTGTTTTTTAGGGCGTTAGCTAGGGGTATGTAGTTGGTTTTGAACAGTGTGGCGGGGTTTTTTGTCATTTTCACTCCTAGAAAGGTTAGGTAGTCGTCCCTCCAATCTAGGGGGAACGAATCCTTAAGGAGCGCCATATGTTTGTTGGGTATGTTGATCCCCAATGCTTGTGTCTTAGAGACGTTTAGTTTGTAGTAGGATAGGAGGCCATATGTTGTGATGTGTTTCATTAGGTTTGGCAGGGATATTAGTGGTTGCGTCAATGTAAGAAAGACATCGTCAGCGAATATACTCAATTTATATTCCCGTTGGTGCAGGGATACTCCGTGTATGGATGCATCTGCCCGTATTCTAGCTGCTAGGGGTTCTAGTGCTAGAACGTAGAGTAGTGGGGATAAGGGACACCCTTGTCTAGAACCATTGGTGATTGTGAACTTGTCAGAACAAAATCCTGCGTTTAACACTTTTGCTGTTGGGCAGCTGTATAAGGCCTCCACTACGTTGATAAAATGGCTAGGGAAGCACATTCTCATCAAGACTCTTTTCAGGAATCCCCAGTTTAATCTGTCGAAGGCCTTCTCTGCATCTAAGGACACGAGAAGGCCTCCCACGTTCGACCTCCGCATGGAGTGTATGAGGTTCAGTACTTTCCGGGTGTTATCTGCCCCTTGCCTCCCTGCTACGAACCCTACTTGGTCGTCGTGTATCAGGGAGGGAAGGATGGTGCCCAGCCTCTTGGCATAGACTTTCGCTAATAATTTGGCATCTGTGTTAAGTAGCGATATGGGTCTGAAGTTGGGGCAGTGTGTCGGGGGTTTACCTGGTTTCGGGAGCGTTATAATATGTGCTAACAACAGCTCCTCAGGGAGCTTTTTCTCCTGGACAGCTGAGTTGAATAGCTGGGCTAGGGGGTTTGCAAGGGTTGATTTGAATTTTTTGTAATACAGATTTGTGAACCCGTCTGGGCCCGGGGCTTTGTTGGTGGGGAGGGATTGTATGGCTTCCTCTACTTCTGTGTTTGTGACTGGCTGCTGTAGTGTGGCCACCTGGTCTGCGGTGAGGGTCTGTAGTGGGGTGTCTTGAAGATAGGTTGTGATTTCCTGGTTGTTCGGTACCTGCAGTTGGTTTGAGTGTGTTAGGTTATACAGTTGCTGGTAGTAGTTTGCAAACGCATTGCTTATTTCTATGGGGGATACAACCTTTGTGTTGTTGGCTGTGTATACATATGGTATTTTGGCGTTCGTCTCTACTTTCTTCAACTTAGTTGCTAGTATTTTACTGGCTCTGTTGCCCTGGGTGTAGTGTGTGGCTTTTAGTTTTCGGAGGTTGTATCCAACTTGTTGCAGAGTGTGTGTTTTAATTTTTTCCGATATGTCCTTAATTCTTTGTTGTGTGTCCGCAGTTGGTTGGGTTTTGTTTTTGTGTGTGAGGTCTGACAGCTGTTTGTGCCAGGCTATCCAGCTGGCTCGCCGTGTTTTTTGCGTGTGAGAGGCCTGCTTGATGAGGAGCCCTCTGATTACAGACTTGTGTGCCTGCCATGTAGTGCTAATAGAGGTGTCTTCTGGTTTGTTCAGAGTGAAAAAGTCGTCGATGGCCTTCTGTATTGTGTCCGTAAAGGAGTTGTCTGTTAGTAGGGACTCGTTAAGTCTCCAGGGGCTTTTGTGTTTATAGTCATAGCTATCCTTAAGGGTTAGGGTTTGAGGGGCGTGGTCCGACCACGAGATGGCGCCTATAGAACATTCAAGCACTTGGTCTAGGTGACGGCCCTCAATATGGAACCTGTCTATTCTAGTGTATGTGTTGTGTGCGGCGGAGAAATATGTGTAGTCTTTGTCTTGTGGGTGTAGGACTCTCCACACATCATACAGCCCCCGTTCCTCTAGTAGTTTTAGGTGGTTCGTGCAGGCTGTCTGCTGTCTGGAGTATGTCGTGTGGGGGGTTTGGGTCGTAGTATCCATGTTAGGGTCTAGGATATGGTTGAAGTCCCCGCACAAAACCAGTATTCCTTCTTGTGGTGGGCGAAGGAGAGACAGGATTCTGTGTAGGAAGTTCCTTTGGTTTGTGTTTGGGGCATATGCGTTGGCAATCGTGTATTTGTTATTGTTGATCGTGCACCCTAGTATGAGGTAGCGGCCCTCCGGGTCTGTTCTCAGAGAGTGGTATTGGAAGGAAACCTGGCTGCTAATTAGTATTGACACGCCCTTAGTTTTGTGTCCTGATGTGGCATGATACTGGTGTGGGAATTGTGACGGTTTGATTTGTGGTGTTGTCTTGAAATGTGTTTCTTGGAGGCACAGTACGTCTGGTTGTGTCTGTTTAAAATCCCTAAGTAAACAGTGTCGTTTATATGGGGTATTTAGTCCCCTAACATTGTGGCTTTGTATTTTCATACAGTTGATGGGGTTGGTGTCTGTCTGTTATTATTGTGGATACGGCCTCTAGTGTACGTGCCCTTTGGGTCGTCTCTGTGGGTGTTTTTACGTGTCTTTCCCTTTGGTCTGGGTGGTTTTTCCCCCTCAGGATCTGAGTGTTCACGGAAGGTAAGTCTTTCCTTAGGCTTTTGGTAAGATACTCTAAATACTCCCTGCAGTGCTCGCAAGTTATAGTACTCTCTTCCAGAGAGGTTGGGGGGGGGGGTAGAAGAAGGGGGGGAATAGGGGAAACCGTGCCGTGAGTGGACGGTTAACAAGAAGAACTGTAGTAAAGCCCGGTTTGGGGCTACGTAACTGTACAGTAGTACCATGTGGGAGCGTGGTACTTAAGAGTTTGGATAACATAGGTAACCCGGCCTAAGTGTCGCTGTGACCACATGTTCAGTGTGAGTGGTGCTTGACCCCTTCTTAGCCCGGTGTCTCTGGGCATCTATTTGGGTTCTGGGGGCCGTTTGCGACATCATATAGCCTTAACCTTTCCCTGCTCTTAACAATATTCAACATAAAATAACTGTAACATTAACAGTGGGTTCTGCCGACTCATTTCTCCAGCCGGAGCTTTAGTGTGTGTAAGCCAATGAAGTGTGGGCATTTGAGTTCCGCTATCGCGGGTACATAGTGGTGTATGTCAGCGTGTGTGAGTGTGTGGGTGGTGTGTGGTTTGTGTATGGGGTATCACCCCAATAGACTTACAACGGTTGGTCTGCATGCCTCCTGTTAAAGTTCTGCATGTGGCGTTGCACCATCATAGTCCATGGTTGGTGCTGCAATTCCAACACGATGTGTTGGCTAAAAGTTCGTGTTGGGTAGAGACCGATTAGGCAGTAACTCGTTGGGTGGAGGTTGGTGTAGTGAGACTGAGGTAGACTTCTCCCGGTTCGGGCGGCCTCTTCCTCGCTCAGGTGCGTGCTTTCTTCCATTCAGGCTGGATTCTGGTGGGTTGTGTCTTGCTGTTTCCTTGTGGGTGCGTTTGGATACCCCATCTTTTCAGGGTTTTCCTTCCCTCGTCTGGGGTGGTAATGGTGTGGATTGCCCCATTCCTGTGCACCAGTAGGCGGACCGGGTGGCCCCAGCGGTATTGTACCCCCTGTTGCCGCAGAGCATCAGTGACCTCTTTAAACTCTCTCCTCTTCTGCAGTGTGAGAGCGGAAAGGTCTGTGTAGATTTGTATTGCTTGGTATTTCTCAGGGAGGTGTTTGTTTTGTCTGGAGGCTTTCATCAAAGCCTCTTTAGCATGAAAATAATGCATGTGGGTGAGAATGTCTCTGGGGGCTTCCTCCGGTAAAAATTTCGGTTTGGCGACTCTGTGTGCCCTGTCCATAAGTAGGACATCTGGGGGTAAGTCAGGAGCCAGGATTTTGAAATACTCCGTGAGATACTCTGTTATTTCTGGTTGTTTCACCGATTCAGGGATGCCTCTCAGGCGTATGTTCTGCCTTCTGGACCTGTCTTCGAGATCCATAAGTTTTGTTTGGCAGGTTTCCAGCGTGTTTTCTATTCTTTGGACGTGATCCGCCATGTCATTGTGGGCCTCCGCATATTCCTCCATGCGGTGTTCCATACGGGCTGTCCGCTCTCCTAGTTCCTGGACATCCTTTCGTAGGTCAGCTATGGAGCTGTTAAAGCTTTTAAGCAATTTGGATGCCATCTCCTCCAGGCACGTTTGCAGAATTGCCTGTGTTACTGGCTGGTCTCTGGAGCCTGGGGAGTCCTGCAGCGGGATGGTGTCGTCGCCATCTTGCTCCTCCTCGACGGGGAGCAGGGTTTTAGGTGTCTGATTGCGGGCTGCAAAGAACCCGGGTTTGTCCCCTTTCTCGCAGGGCTTCTTCCCCTTATGTTGGGCCATCGTGGGGCTATGTTTGTGAGGGGTTTGCTGGTCTGGATCGCTGTGATAGTCGCTGATTTAGGCCGGTTTTGGACGGAGCGTTACTCACATGCGACCGTCCGCGCCATTCAAGAGTTTCTATTTCCTCGCTCCCTTCTTTTTGATCTACAGCATAAAAGAATTGGGCTTCATGGTTGAACTAGTCTATTTTTCAACCTAGACAACTATATAGTGGTCAGCGGGACTGAAACATGCATTAATTTATAACTTATAACCCACGTTTACCAGTTTAGTTAATAAAGCCCTCAGTGAGTTATCTGTTTGGATATTGATTAAAAACTATTTATATTCACATCCAGCCTGCTTCTCCCATTTTGTATAATTAATTTAGGGAACTTAAACTTTCATGATAAATAACATAAATTGCTATGTAGCAATTTGGATAAAAAACTTAAAACATGAGCTACATTGTAATGAGTGCTCCTCAATTATTTTATATAAGAGGCACATTTAAGGGTTTTGGTTCTACAGATCCCGAATCATCTAGCTGGACTACCAAATCATTATAGAAATAGGTCTGCTGACTACATAAATAACCAGAGGGCACAGGTTAAAAACAAAAACCTCTAATAACCAGGAGAGAACATGTATCACCTCAGACAACCTCTATTACACCATACACAAAAGGCAAAAATAAACAGTGATGGAATCTACCCAGGTAACACAAGCTATATAATATTTGAAGTTAGGCTATATCCAATAGAAATTTATTGATATGTATTTTGAAGTATCTTTGATGTTGTTGTTTTTTAATTTTATTTCATGATATCCTTTTTTAGTATAGGAATAGCCGAATGTACCATTAAGGTCACATACATAGCTACGTAGTACATAGTTCTATAAGGCGAGCCAGACAAAAATGTGATCAAGTCACATCCACCCCTTTGTGATGGCTGATGTCAGTAACGTCCAAATGCAGGAGAAGACACATAGGGTAAGGGGGGGTTATTCAATAAACTCAAAATTTTAGTGGATTGATCCGAATGGCAAAATTTAGGCAAAAATAGTCAAGCTATGACTATAGCGTATTTGAATTTTTTTTTCCATATTTCTACAAAAATGTCCTTATTCTACAATTCTGAGTTTTATGAATGACCCTGTTGATGTGCATAATATTATGGTCTACCTGGGATCCACCTAATGTCTTACAAATTCCTTGTTACTTGTCTGAAAATTACACCATTGAATACAACACTGAAAATAACATTATTTAATGTATCTTCTTCTCTGTATGCGTTCTCTATGTTTACTGCCAGGTGCAAAGGACAGAGCTTGCAACACTAACAGGAAACTAAGATGGCAGCACCCGGTAGCAGGATTAGAAGATGATGATTAATACATTAACTTATTTTCTATCACCGTATAATCCATATTTTAAGTGAACGTAATATTAAAAATCTTCAGAAATGGCAATTCCCTCTTAACAAAGAGCCACAAACACTTTAAAACATAGATGCAGTAAGTGGATGTAGATTCATAAAATTAATTAATTAAAGATAATTTTAGAACATCCTCAATAAGCAGGCATTTACAGTTTATTGTTAATTTCCTTGAATAAAAGTAACAAGCCGTAACAGAGTAATAATAATAATTAGAAAAAAGAAGTCTAATAAAACTTTAATAACACTTTGCGTAACTACGTCAGTTGCTTTTTACACTCTCCCATTACAGACATCATAGCAATTCATTTCTGCCTTTGCTGTGTACACAATAAGCATTGTGCTGAGAATTCCAGTTTGTTCTGGTGTATTTCTGAGAACTGTCTGAGCTGCAGCTACGGGGCATGTGACTAAGCTAGAACAGTAAACACAGATCAAGTCAATACCATCTTAGGAAATCATGTGCAGAACCCATAACTAGCACCAATATCCACTGTGCACAGTGCCTTAAGATAGCTCAGTCATCTAGCGTGTGGATGGCATAGCACACCAGGTAAATAATACAGACCTCCTGACTTAACCTGATGTTCCCTGTTATGGTGCCTATATAACTACTGCAGAACAAGAAACTCTGTATAGTTCACGTTATATTACCTAAAATTTACAGATGGGTGGTCTTCTGTGGGATGAACATAAATCTGTGCACCTCAACAATATAGGGTAGCCACCTGGCTGGTGTTTTACCAGCATAGCCGGTATCTGAGGCTGTCTGGTCAGTGCCAGCATTGCAAAAATACCAGCAATGCAAAGTGCAGTATTTTCCCCTGATAGGACTCTGGGGAGTAGTGAGACAGATGGAGACAAAATATACAGCTCTATTATACATGGTAAGCACATACACACACACACACACACCATGGCATGCACACACTCACAGTATACACACATTGATGCACAGTGTGCACACACTGCTATACACCCACGTGGAAAACGTATACATCCTGTGACACACTGCTATATACACACACACTCAAAGTACGCACACACTACTCACGCAGTATACACACGACACAATATTTTAAACAGACACAATATACACAGTGACGCACACTCACAAACTGTATACACACTCTACTACACTTACACAATGCTACATGTTCAGTAAGTCATAGTAAATACATAAGTAAGCAGTGATTTGAGGAATTTTACCCTTCCAAATAATTTTTTTCCCTTTTATGTCACTCCCTGTAATGTTCTATAACATTTACATATATAATTAATTGTGCAGCTTCTAAAAATGTCTACTAAACATTGTATGATGCTGCATGCATTGTAGTGCATGAATGTAAACTCAAGAGATAGCAAATATAAATATGAAAATCTAAGGTAATAAGGACTATGCTGACCGCTGAGAGGATTGGCGCAACAGTGATGAAGGTTCTTGCTGCCCCGGCTGGAGATGAACACTCTCCCTCCCCCCCTCATCCCTTCCCATTGTGTCTTCTTTCTCTTCACACTTTCCCTCTCCCCCTTCTGATTATATCCTCATTTGTGAAAAATGTAAAAATGTTCATGCATGCATATGGTGATCATGAGATAGGTAAGCGCAGTAGAGCACCAAAGACAGACCCAGCACAAACTTAGATGCAGTTATGCATCAGGGGCTCAGAAATACATTTCCTATGATGTCGCACAATCACCATGCCTTCGTGCACGAGAGATGCACGTAACATTGATCTGATGTACCTGTGTCACATTCACAGTGAAAACTTCATCCCTATGCTCATTTATTGTGCTTTATTGTATAATATACTTATTGATTGCCTTGCCTTTTGTCAGTGTAACTTGATATGCATGACTTGATAAATAAAGAATAATTAAAAAAAATAATCTAAGGTAGTAGAGCATTTGATCTATACATTTGCTGATTATTTTCATAGTGTATCTGAATGTTTGTAAATTTATGCTGTATGCAAAGCCTGAATTAATGAACTGATTAATAAAAAAAAAAAGCCTGAATTAATGAATAAACACCACTTTAATTTATATTTTTATCTAGAAAACTTTACAAACATTTAAGAATGGTTTAGCCCCTTACGGTAAAAGGGTGACAGGACCTCCAGGCACCATAACAACTTAATTGAGATGGTGTTATGTTGCCTGGGATATTTCTTTAAAGGCACACTATAAACAACCAGACCACTTCAGCTCATTGAAGTGGTCTGGGTGCACTGTCCCTTTCCCCCTTAGTCTTGCCATGTAAAACATTGCAGTTTTTGAGAAACTGCAATGGTTATATTGCAGTACTAAGAGAGCCTCAATAATCTACCAGGCAGCCAATAGAGGCGCTTCCAGGAGTTTATTGGACTCTGGGTCCCCTAAATGACATTCTCACCCGCTGCATGAGGACATCTTACGTCAGTGAAATCTTCATAGTAAAGCATTGAGTAATGCGTTCGCGGTACTTGTCACACATGGGCATTTAGTTCTCCCATCGGATGACTTCAGAGGAGGTGGAACACCAACCCAGCGCTTGGTCGGTCGATGCTGGAATCGGTAAGTAAATAAAGGTTTTTTTTTAAACCACATGGAGAATTGGGGCCTTGAAGGAGGGGGGGACGGGACCAGAGGGCACTATAGTGTTAGGAATACAGATTTGTATTTCAAACACTATAGAATCACTTTAAGTGCTTACTTTGTCGTGTTATTTAGAACAAGCTCTGGTTTAAAAGTATACAGCTACACGTAACACTACATTTGGTGCTTGGACTAGAAATGGAAAACAAACAAAATATTAATTAAGTAGTCTATGTTTCAGCAACAAGTAACAGATTTTATATATGTAAGGCACAATTACAGAATAACACAATAACACAATGTCTTACACACATAATTCGTTTGGTAATTTAGAAAGATTTTATTTTTAGAAGTACCAATAAGCACTATATGTATAATGTACAGGCACAATAAATCCTTACTCAGAAGAGCTTACAATCTTTTTTGTGCCTCAGGCACTGAGAGAGCTAGTGATTTCCCCAAGGTTACATAGTGCTGGCTCTTGGGTTTCAACAACAGATCTTATATCATCATCACTTCTCTCATTGTTAGAGAAAAATGAACAATATTTTTTGTATTGCTTTTGTGCTATATTTTCCCTTAACGTGTAATATAAATTTAAACGTATCTGCTGTCACATTAAATCTTTTTCTCCGTGATGTCAGGAACGCACAATTGTTACACCTTGTAATTCCACTCCAACAACATATTACCGTTCAACACTATTCTACAAATATCAAGTCAACAGTTATATTGAAAAACATGAGATAGTAGGAGAATGTGATGTCATTTTGTGTAATTATTTCCTAACTTTCAGAGAGGAGTGTTAGCAAAATACTTGTTTTGGATTCTAATCATCCTTGAAGAACATTCTCTTAAAACACATTTGCTTTTGAAGGTGCTGTTCTGCCTATTTTCGAGTGTAACATTTTTATAACTTATTCAAGCAATAGTCACCTTCTCCATTCTTTATAATGCCCAAATACTAAACAACATTTTTTATTTTATTTTTAATTGTACGATGTACATTTTTGTCCCATTCTTTTTAATCCTGAGCCAGACGATGCTTGCTAGCAGTCATGTGACCAAGAGAACACTCTCTGGTTGAAATGCTTTGTTACTATAGCAGCAGAAAAAAAAACAGTTGGCGTGGGTAGAACAGCACCTTTAAGGCAAAATTGGAAGATGATATATGTATTGGCTAGAGTGGAACAGGCTTCCTAAACTCACTTCTCAGGAGTGCAAGATTGTTGCCAAGGCAGAGACTGGACAACCTCACAGGTGGGTAATCATGCAAATATTCGCATGCTGGAAATATAATCACCCATGTTCTTATGAGCCTATGTCTCATTTTGGAATCACCCATGCTCTTATAACTAGATCACACAAACCTTCAATGGAAATTCGAAGGTTGGAATTGAAATCCCTTAGTCCAATCATACAGATGGTACTTCTGGGAAGCTTTCATTTCAGTGAATAGAACAGGTCCATTTCCCATGGATCCTTTATATGAAACTGTGCAAATTATCTTATTTAATTGCAAATGTTCTGCAGAACATCATAGGGGTTGGTTGTTTTGGTTTCTCAGAGGATGGAACAAAAACTCTGCTTCTTTTGATTGCTTACTACAGCATTCTCATGGATTACACATTTTAATACTCTCATTGCAAGGTGACGATGGACTAATAAGAGTGCTTGCATGCTCACCCTACTGAGTTCATGTCTAACATTATTATATGGCTGTATAACCAGGATGTCCTACCAGGAACATTGAGAGCTGCCAGATAGGGTAAGAGTTACTGTAGTGAGGTAAGAGTTAATAATCTCGAAATGTATCAGCTTATATAAGTGATAATGTGCAGAGGCATCAGAAATATATTTAAAAAATAATACCTATCTATATCTAAAAATTAATGAGGTTGAATGGAATTTAAGAAATAGTTTAGGAAACAGAAAATAAAAAACACAAGAACAATTAGCAAGAGACACAAATGGAAAACATCAAGCCATAGAACGAAAACACAGATAGACATGGTAAAAGGAGGTGCAGGAGATCAAAATTATCGCAATGACATGTTTCTCTACCTCCATATCTATACATAACAATATCATGCAAAGGACATAAAACAGCATACTGATAATAGGTATTCATAAAAAAATATTCACCAAAGACACAGGTATTGCTTAGAATCTCATTATAAACTACTTGTCTGTAGACTTTATGGCACAACAAGGAAATGTGCAACACATTAGCTTTTTGCGTACTCTTCTTATGCCTATTGGAGGTTTGTAGTATCCCTTTTGAACTCTGTCTCCACATTTCTTTATGTATGTTTTTGTAAAAATCAGTGATATTCGGTAATTCAGCTTTCTGAACCCACTGTTTTTCACACCATCTGGAAAAATATCATGTTTGCACAGATTTTTCAAGTACATTTTTACCTACGAGTCTTTTTATGTGAGTGCTTTAAAGAACTCATGGATTTGGTGTTCCTGTTTGAGACTGACAACTAGCTTCGCCATTTCAAAACTATTTCTTTCTTACCAGGAGAAGCTGAGAAATTAAGATCAACTCCTCTGGTAGGAAAGCCAAGAATAGAGCCATGCCAAGCAGTAATGATGATCTGTCACAGTGTCTCACTGAACGGAACCATGGTTCTTGCTGCTTCTTTGTCGAGCACCCTAACAATAAAATAATGTAGACAACTCTGTAACGTGAGATCTCCAGCTTTGCCACAAGATAATACAGTACAACCTATATCTCCAAGAGTTACTGCTGTAACTACAGGTCTTTAGATCACAAATAAACCTTCAATACTGGGACTGGGTACCAACATCTAAAGGATGTTAATCCTGACAATTAAAATAAAAAAAAAGGTTCCTTCTCCCAAAGAATTGACAAATGTTTGGCTTTTCTGTAACAGGGTTTCTCAAGTATTTTGCTAAAAAGAAGGCCCTGCTTAAAAACTGTTTTGATGATAACATTGGAGAGTGATATAAAACAGGGCACTCAACAGACGTTTGGTGCACAGATGGGAACATCAAGGAGCTTAAGGTTTGTTCTGGAGTGGTCACTTGTTATGCTGGAGTGAATCCTTTCCAAAAAGCATATGGAAAGGAGTATAGGGGGTATTCAGGCCTAGCCTTTAAACATCTTTACACAAAGGCTTCATGATCAGGTGTGCCATTGATTTTCATGTACAATTTGGAGTCCTCGATTTTCTGTTTCCTCTGACGCTCCAGGTTTCTCTTAAAAAATATGAGGTAGAGTGGAAGGCAGAATCCGAACATACTAACTCCCAAAAGTCCGACATTAACCTATAAAAATAACAATAAAATGGGTATGATTAGAATGATTATATAATAATAAAATGCATAAGGAATAAGTCAATGGAATATAAATAAGAAATGTATATCAAGGATTTGATTTCTTATTTTATATTTAAAAGACAAAACCTTGTTCAATAGAATGAGTAGCTAGTCAAAAAGATAGTTGCTAAAAATCTGATATACTGAAAGTACCATTCGCTTGCATCCAAAAACAGATTACATTATTCTTACCCAGAGTGGGTCGCCTTCTAAAGGTCCCATCATCGCCAAGAAGAGAGGCTGCTGTAAAAGTGCAAACAAGGCGCTAATAAGAGACTGCAGTCCAGTCAAACTGCCAAAATGTGACGAGGGATATCTGAAAGAAGAAAACAAAGTTGTTATATTTCCCAATGGAGTAATCATATCAGTGCTTCTTACCTATAGCAGTGGGAGCTACCTAAAGCACTTCAGAGCTTTGACTGCTATTGTTCTCTCGATGCTCAGTGAAATACCCTATAATTCATTGTCTTTTTAAAGAGACTCAAAAGCTATCTAAGTACTGTTTAAAAAGATCAGATGGCAGAAACAGTTAACCTGTGCTCACAATCATTGAAAAATATATCATATCATATTACAATGGCACACGATAGCTGATTGGCCCTTGTAAATTGATACCATATTGACAAAGGAGTTATACGTTCCTGGCAAGCCTGACTTTCTGCAGTCCTGTAAAACTTTCTATGGATGACAATATCTTGTGTGATGCTTCTATATGAATCTTAGAAGTAGCAAACTGGAGGTCTACTTTAACAAGGGATCAGTGAGCAGTATATATGAACATAGGATGCAGCTTTAAACTAGTGAAAAGGCCTGGAACAGTTTTAAGCAGCATTGTTTACAAATGAGTAACAGTGAGTGTACTTACACAGCAGCATAGAGACCTCCCACAGCAGAATGGATGAAACCTCTCACAATTGTGTGCAAAATAAATGAAAGTATCTGTAAAGCAATGGTAAATTACAGTTAGCTGGGCTTTACAGAAATCAGGATCTAAAACCATTTTTTAACCCTTGATGTAACATAAACATAAATACAGACACACAAACACTCACCATAAATACACACACAATTTGTATTATTTTATTATCTACCCTTCTTCTCTGCTACTCATATTATTTAGGGGAGGGGGCGTAGAGAGAGAAGGAGGGTCTCCATGCTATACCTGGTATCTAGCAATGGAAAAGCAAGAAGGGTTTGCATTGGCAACCCCGCTTCCTCGCTTGCTCCCCGTTTCCACATTAAACAGGCAGGTAGGGCCATGATGGCATCACATCCCTGGACTTACTACCTTCTCAGTATTACTGTATGTTGGTGGAGTACTGATATAAATCTACGCATTACAAAACTGCATTAACATATGTATTTTCTAGGCAGCTAGCTGTTAAGACTCCAGCACCTGTGGTGCCCCACTCACCCCTTCCTAATGGCGGGGCCTGCTTTTGAAATGTAAAAATCAGCATGACTTTGAAATACATATTTACATTTAAAGGTGCATGATCTATTGTAAGATTTAAACACACGGGGTCATTTACTTAAGTGAGAATTCAAAGTGAATTTCAGAATTAAGGTGAAAATTGCCAAACTGGAAAAATTCTCTAACTCGGCTATGATTCCAGTTCGGCTTCTTCAGCCTTAATTTTGAAATTCACTTAGAATTCTCATTTTAGTGAATAATCCTGACAGTAATACTTTAAATTAAAATATTTACTTTTATTACATCAGGAAGTCTACCTTACAGAAGCCAGCAAAGGTCTACCATTTGTCTATTCTCACCTATACATTTTCTGGTCACTAGCTAAGTCCAGTAGTAGCACAATGGAGCATGCAGGATACTGATTTGATGTCCTTCTTTTGAGAACTCTATTTAATCCATTTATGAGAACAGCTGGGAACCAACAGTGGACAAAGATGCCATACTTTGAATCAGTCAAAGGTAACTATTGCATTGCAAAGTGAGGCAGATAATCTGTAGCACTTTTGTTTTGACGTTTGTTATGGATACCCCAGGTGATGTTCTCAGCCACCCTGGTCTTCCATTGTTTTCAGAGGAAGATTTGTGTATTCCTCATAAACCTCACTGAGATATGTAGTCTCTACTGAAAGCTGAACAGTTAGTGGCAAAGAATGAAACAACCTGGCAAGTTAATAGCAGCTGCCAGATGGCTTCATTTAACACGCAGAGCATCTTCATTCATGTTATTCTTCGATGAATGAAAGTGCTCGGTGTTATGCAGCTCTTATTACCTAGGTTGTCTAAGCAACAGGATTTCTTTTAACAGTTAAATGCAGGAAAACAAAGTCCATTTTTTTTACAGTCTGCGGCTTTTGTTTTCTGATAAGGTTTGAGGGTTGTTTGTAATCTGTGTGGTGTCTTACAGCACAAAATACTACACAGATTGTACAGAATACATACAATAGCACATTCCCATTAGTCTGGGTTTCACCAGCACCCAGCGGCTTCCCCCAGACAAACGTCCCATATTTTTTAAACATATTAGATTTTTGGTTTTGTGTTCAATATTATAGTAAACAAAATGCGGGCCCTAATTTTTTTACTTGCCACACACCTGTAAGGGCAAGTTTGGAATGAGACAGGTAACTCCAAATCCCACCAGCAGCACATTGGTAAATGCAAAGGCCCGAGTGGCATTCGTGATCTTTTGAATCTGACGATCACGTTTCTTCTTTTTCTTGCCATTTCTGAAAAAGATGGAAAGTGAATAATTGATATTAATTCATGGACACGTGTTAGATAGGGTCAAATATTTAATTCATCATTTACATTCTATACTAACTGTTCAGCTGCTTATAAGATAAATCATGGCGGCCAGGGAGTAAATTCTGATCTGTTTCAGAACTTCAACTCCCAGGTTCCTTTCACAGTCATATTAAGGTAACAGCTGGGGGTCTGCCTTTTGGCCACTTCTCTCACTTATGGTATATATATATATATAGATATATAGAGGCGCATTGCACTTTAAAGAGCCACTAAAACAAACCCTTCAATACAGAACCAGTGTAAGGCTGCTGTTTAGTATTATGCTATGTCTACTTTTGAGTCATTACAAGGTTTTCAGAGTATTTACTTCTCATCCTTTTCATCCTCATCGTCGTTGCCATCATCACATTCCTTCAGTTTCCAGTCCATGATATAGCCAATGACAGGGGCAGTGAGGAGGCAGAGTAGCTGCAATACGCCAAAAATTGATGTATAGAGGCTGACTGCAGAGACAAAAAAAACACAAAAAACTTAAAATCCATGTGACTGATATTTATGCATTGTGTAATAATACCATTTCTATAATATGTATTAGATGTGCTGACTGTCACCTATTTCCTTTCTTGCACTGTCAATCTTTAAATTCATAAAATTTACTACTCCGACTAAAAACCGACTATTATCATGCATAAACAGCAAAAAAAAAGTTTAAACATCCAAATTAAATTAGTACACTGCACTGTATGTATGAAGCAATTAAATGAATAAACAAAGAAGGCTTATACAGTGCATGCTAAGGATAATATGAACGTTAAGAACATTGAAAGAAGCGTTATGAGCATATAGATAAAAGGCGAGTTGCTGATATCTATCAGGGAATGGTAGTTAGGATGGACAATGGAGCTAATTGTTAAAGCATCATTTCTCCAGGACATTTTTATTACAAACTTGTCCTAGCTGGAATTGACATTATAAAAACACCAAGGCTGTCCACATTGGTGGCTGGTGAAGTTTAAAGATGGTGGAGCGCTCAACTTGGTTGGTCTCTTCCTATATAACCACATGTATCCAACCCCTGACTCAATGAGTGTTGGTCTCTTCTTACAAAACTACATCTAAGCAACCCCTGACTCAATGAGTGTTGGTCTCTTCCTACATCACCACATCTAAGCAACCCCTGACTCAATGAGTGTTGGTCTCTTCCTACATAACCACATCTAAGCAACCCCTGACTCAATGAGTGTTGGTCTCTTCTTACATTACTACATCTAAGCAACGCCTGACTCAATGAGTATTGGTCTCTTCCTACATAACCACATCTAAGCAACCCCTCTCTCACTACATAACCACATCTAAGCAACTCCTGACTCAATGAGTGTTGGTCTCTCACTACATAACCACATCTAAGCAACCCCTGACTCAATGAGTGTTGGTCTCTCACTACATAACCACATCTAAGCAACCCCTGACTCAATGGGTGTTGGTGTCTCACTACATAACCACATCTAAGCAACCCCTGACTCAATGAGTGTTGGTCTCTCACTACATAACCACATGTATCCAACCCCTGACTCAATGAGTGTTGGTCTCTCACTACATAAGCACATCTAAGCAACTCCTGACTCAATGAGATGTCACGTACTGTGCAATAGCATAGATATATTAATACATATATTTGGGAAACAACAACCACTTTGAAGAGATCTAACTCCACTCTTTGATGTTGTTACCCGATGACAGCCCTAAAGACCAGCAAAAAATGCAAGCCTGTTTTTTAAGCAGTCAATGATCTGAAGACTAAATACAAAGCCAACCGATGATGACACAAATCCTGTGAGAGCACACTAAGCATGTCCAAGGGCTTTATACTCAGACTTCTGTTTAAAATACCCCAAAATCTCGACATAATTAGTTACTCAGATAAGTACCATAGCCTATCATCAATAAAGGGGGTGAAAATTGCAGCTATAATTATGCCAGACACAACTTTTTTAAAACAATGTCTAACAAATGTATCATTAGACTCTACTATGCCAAAACTTTTGATTTTATTTTTTTCAAATAAAATCTAGCTTGCGCTGCCCTATCTGAACCTATGGACCAGCCTCCCCTGGCTGTCCACATCCAACTGGAGAGGCATGTTGTGTTAAAAGTCTAGATTCATATGAAAGTTCTGCGGCTTACAAAGATAGAGTGGGCCTCCATTTTCCTCCAGAATCCCTTTAACCGGACTAGTACTGGTATAAAGTTTATTGCATTACATCTCTTTTCGTTAGGGGTTTTGCTTTTTTTTTTAATTATAAACAAAAATATTTTTTTGTTTTTTCCCCACACTGAATTTACAATTGTGATGCAGCCCTGTTTTGTTTTTTTGGCATTTAAACCCATTGTTTCTTCAAGCTTACCCGTGTGCATCACTATGTAATGAAAAGTAGAAGTCAGCAAGTGATAGCAAGGAAACAATATAAGAAAAGAAATTAGTTAGCAACAGATGGTGAACCAAAAGCAGACAAATCTTTAGACCACATGTTTAGACAGTGAATTGCACAACACTGTAATCATAAGTGCGACCCTGTTTCAGTGCTTTGTGCGTACATTTGAATCAGCGAGTTCCACAAAGAAGAGGAAGTGAAATGTATGGAATCATCCAAACTCAGCACGATCCAGTTGCATGATGACTGATATTGGTGTAAACATAAAGCAGAGGTCGTGAGTATATTTCTGTCTAGCTTACATAAATTAAGACATAAAGTGAATTTAAATTTTTAAATAGGGTAAATAATGGCACGGTAAGTGTGGAGCAATTTTAGCAACACAATTCCTACCCTAGAGGGATAATTCAGCTGCCAGATCTGTGCTGACCAAAAAGCAGTGTATCCAGTACATCTATAATTTGAACGGTATATCAAACAGCGTTTTATGTAAAGTAGATTTCCATATTGACTTGATTAAAAATGAAATTATATGAAAAAACATCAAATCGGCTGCTAAAGTAGCACTAAATTTAAAAGAAAACGTGTTCGTTTAAAAATCAACTAGCTCTTAACCTGAGCATCAGATAAGGCAGCTAACTGGTATTCTACTTTTAAGAAGTGATTGCAGGGTTTTATACTAAAGGGGATATAGAGAATTTGAAACAAAGTGAACATTTGAAGCCAAAGTAGCCTAATAAAATACATAGCTACTTTTAGATACATTTTGCAGTTTAGCTATGTTAGCATAACATTTGAAATTCACTTTGATTTCTCAACATTTCACTCTTTAGTGTATAACCTCGATATGTAACTTGCATAATTACAGATAAAGAGTGCTTTACAAATTCACGACGTGTAGTTTAAAATCTCAGCATATTTCCTAGTGGAGTAACTTGGAAATTTCACCATTCAGGAATCCACACTAGAAATCTCTCTTCATGGAGGAGATTCATTGAATTTGTCAGGTTTTAAAGCTATAAATCTGTTTTGCATTTAATGGTGTTACAGGGGAAGTTGGCCTTCATTCTCAGGTTGTCTCAGTCCTTTGTAAAGAAAAATCTTACTGAACAGCCCAAGGCGCTGTATGGAATACTCTCATATCTGTGCATAAATGGCTAAAATACTGTTTGCTAAGTGGGACAGAGTCTTTGATTGAATGATTTGGAGACATAATCTTTTGGACAACACTCTGCCTCATTCATGTAGAACTGCAGAAACAGACATGCATAGTGAATGTTTGCACAACAGGATAATGACGGTAATACCAGCATTTTTCTGAAGATACAGATTCTAAATATCCCCGGAATTTAGGAATGGGTACACTCAGCACATCAACCTGCCTGTCAACAAGCATTCATTTAAATATTATAAAACAGATGCAGCCTTACAATCTTCCACGTGACAAGATCATTTTCTTGGACGTAACTTAACAGTTCTGATATGTAAATGCCTAGTCCTCTGCATGCTCTAATAAACATAAACAGGGTTCTAACATTTAAGTATTCTGCAGAGCTGGATTGGAAACGGAAAAATACTTTAACCTGCCTCAGGTAATGGTTTCTTCTCACTCTCAGGAAGTATTACTTTACTCAGAGGGTAGTGGATGCATGAAATAGCCTTCCAGCTGAAGTGGTAGAGGTTAACACAGTAAAGGAGTTTAAGCATGCGTGGGATAGGCATAAGGCTATCCTAGATATAAGAGAAGGCCAAGGACTAATGAAAGTATTTAGAAAAATTGGAAAGGCTAATAAATAACATACACATTGCCATCAATGTATTAAATGGCGCTACGATGTGCCTAATGAAGGTAGGTTTTCCGTTTAAAGTCTTGTATGTTTTTTTTTTCTGATTGCTGTTACTGGTCTATGTATGTTTAATTTCCCATTACTGAGCATATTTATTTCTGTAGATATGTTGTCTTATGCTGAGCTCATGTGAGCGGATCAATGTGAGTAATAATTCACGGTTGCCTTTCAACATGCCTCTTCAGCTACTCATTCCTGATAAAGCAAGTTCGGACTGGATTAGCCGCATTGAACTTCTGCCACAAACCGTTTTGCAATTGAGGAAGATCACATCTGATGTAAATAGCACGTGAACAGTTCTCTCACTTGCTAAATATAATTTCATGCTCTAGGAGGCGCTGCAGAGCCAGAAACACTGCTCTCTAGTTAGAGAACAGATGTGCAGTGCATTAGTGCATTGGTCTTTAACATTTGTTATCTCCAGGACCCAATATCACATAAACATACAGCCCTCTTCTCTGCTAACTGTAGAACTGTCAGACATCTAACATTACACATAAGATAAACAACTGCCATTTTGCTTCCATAAAATAAATATACAGTTTTACATTTATGAATCAAGATATATTACCTTAAGAAATCTCTTTGTAATAAAAATTATACTGAGTAAAATAATAGCATGTATCAATTTTTCCTTTTTATAGTGAATGGTGAGTCTACATGTTACTTATTTACTAGTTCCAGTATGGTCATACAGGGGTATTCAGAAAAGTCAGAATGGTCCTTGACTGAATGGGGCAAAACAATTGTCCACCGGACAATTGGGACTGAAAAATCTGAACATTGTTCACAGTATTTAACAATATCTAGATTTTGCAAAGCAGGCTCCAAATGAGCCTGGATTTGGTACACATTTAGAGACAGTGAAAGCTGCATGGCGTTTTTTTAAATTTGTGCCAGATGCTTAAAAATGCCATGCAGCTTTCACTGTCTCTAAATGTGTACCAAATCCAAAAACAATGTTCAGAAATATTTTCCCACTGATAGCTCTAGCAGCCAGAATACAATTCTTACTAGTCAGCCGTCACATTAAATAGTAACGTGAGGACATGCCCACTAATCTATGATGAACCTAAAATAAATAATAACGATGGTTTGCAATATACATTCTATCTGTATTGTTTATGATATTGGTGCTTTGTACATATTTACATTGTATTAGGGGTTCAGATGCAAAGAGCACTGAGCTTGAACCAGACACTGAATACATCAGGACGATTGTTCCAAATTTGATCAGGTCGACCAAAAATTGGCTTTTGTAAATACGGAAATTGACTTTCCAGTCAGAGTTCAGTCATTTTCATCAGAATGCCAGAATCATCAGAGCCTTTTATTTTAACAAACTGATGTTTAGAGCCACAACAGCACCTCCACGTAACATAATAACATGATATATGCAATGCAAGACATCTTAGTGATACAATTCGCTTAATTTTATAATACGGGCAGATAGGTTATAGCGAGGTGTGTGACTAGATTTAGGGGGAGTGTGGGCCACTTGTCTAGGTGAGTATATCAGCACTCTACTTGATAAACCGTAAAACCAGCAGAGTAAAGGTGCGTGGCTCGTGGCGGTTAAATGTTTTCTATGAGTGTAGTCTAGTCTGAGTAGCAATCTGTGAGTGTGTATCACTGTTGGGTTTTATGTAGTAACTAGGTCACCGTTCCGTGGAGGTTATTGGTGTTGGCTTGTCGAAGGTCACTTCAGTTTACAGTGTGCTGTTTTCTAGCGAATGATGCTTCAATTAAGCTGGACTAGGTCCGATGCTGAAGTGTAGCCGTTTTGTGAGATTCTAGGTGTATACGTTCGTTTATGTAGGAGCTTGGGTGCATTATATAGCCTATCTAGGCTTGTAGGGTGCCGGCATGAGGGGGGGTTTCTCCATTTGATTGCGTGGTGCAATTTAGGGAGGACGGGCTCCTATGCAGGTTGAACCCCGTTACCCTGGGGTGATGGGGGGGGGCAGTTTTTGTGATTTGTGTCCCATCTCACCTCTAAGTGGGGTGCTGGGTATTAGATCTTCCGAGTCGAGTGTGTGCCACGGCCGGAGCCCTCCTGCGATGTCTCGCACTTGTGCTCCCGCGCGGTAGGCCTTGTCGCCTCGGTGTCTGGTATTGGAGCCCAGGGCAATAAGAACGGCATCCATGGTGTCTGCCAGGTGTGCCGCGGTTAAATGTTTTCTATGAGTGTAGTCTAGTCTGAGTAGCAATCTGTGAGTGTGTATCACTGTTGGGTTTTATGTAGTGACTAGGTCACCGTTCCGTGGAGGTTATTGGTGTTGGCTTGTTGAAGGTCACTTCAGTTTACAGTGTGCTGTTTTCTAGCGAATGATGCTTCAATTAAGCTGGACTAGGTCCAATGCTGAAGTGTAGCCGTTTTGTGAGATTCTAGGTGTATACGTTCGTTTATGTAGGAGCTTGGGTGCATTATATAGCCTATCTAGGCTTGTAGGGTGCCGGCATGAGGGGGGGTTTCTCCATTTGATTGCGTGGTGCAATTTAGGGAGGACGGGCTCCTATGCAGGTTGAACCCCGTTACCCTGGGGTGATGGGGGGGGGCAGTTTTTGTGATTTGTGTCCCATCTCACCTCTAAGTGGGGTGCTGGGTATTAGATCTTCCGAGTCGAGTGTGTGCCACGGCCGGAGCCCTCCTGCGATGTCTCGCACTTGTGCTCCCGCGCGGTAGGCCTGCCCTTGTCGCCTCGGTGTCTGGTATTGGAGCCCAGGGCAATAAGAACGGCATCCATGGTGTCTGCCAGGTGTGCCGCGGGTGATGGTGTGTCTGGTTGCTAATTATCTAGCAGGATGGTCGCGGTTTACCCCAGACTGAAGTGAAAAGTCACGTAGCTCGGAAAAATGCTGTCAGCTCCAATGCAGCGTTAGGCCCCGCCCCCCATCAGAGCCTTTTTAAGGTCATCCAAGTCCCTAGTCAGGATGCCACATTGAGGCCTCCACCTATAGAGCATGTTTTGTGTGCGGTGGCTGAGTGTTGTGTTTATTTGTGGCTGAGCTTTGTGTGCGAGGAGACTGAGTATTGTGCAATTGGTGTTGTGTTTGGTGATTGTAGATCACTCTCAGAGCTCCCTCAACATTTTGATGCTCAAGGCTATGACTCAAAGCACAGGCTGCTGCGCATAGATTCAGTAGAGATGCGACAGGACTGCGAGGGACCTATTAATATGATCTCTCCCAACAGAGGTGCAGATCACATGCTCTTTTGATGTAGTGAGGGGGCTCAGGGACAAGCAAGGAGATATTTTGACTTCCCTGCTTGCTCTTACAGGCAGGGCATTCCTCAAAAATCAGAGCTTGTGGTACAGGTGCTAACAGGGGCCTTAAAATAATCCAGTCTTGGGAATCACGAAGTAATGGAATTTACTTAACCCCTTCTCCTGAAGTGGTTAACTGCCCTACTGTGAGCTCTGCTTGTCTGTCTGCGATATAGTGAAAAGTACATCAAACCCAGTACTTTCAACAGCTGTGCATTAATGGACCAGCTGTATCACCGAGTCAGTTATGACTAGTATAGATGTCCTGCCTTGTCACTAGAGATATCCCACTTGAGTTCCACAGGCTAACAAACTAAAAATAATAATACTTAACACCTGACTTCACCTTCATTATTCTGTATAATTTTCATGACAACTTTACATACTCCTTCCATTAATAATAGAAATGATGACAATTCTGCTTTTGTTGTAAAAATGACTCACGAGCTGATATTAATGTAACCTTAAAAGAGGGACTGCCAAATGTAACTATTGTTTTAAAGCCAAAACAATATATCTAGGAGACACGGTGCAGGTTTCTAGGAATGAGGAAATAGACAGAGTTCATAGATAACTATAGGAATAATTTAACAAAATATAGGAGCCAGCAGTTATATAAGAGTCATGCTTCTTAGCCTGCTGGGGGATTATCACTATCTTCCTGGAATTACTCAAACAATATTGATTAATGTAAAACAAAGGGTATTAACCTAGTCTGATCGGGGCCTGTACTATGTACATTGCAGCGCATACTTCACTTGTAAAATATGCTTTGTGAGTCATGCATGAAATGTAACACAACATATACTAAAATAATTGATGGAAAATACTTTTATTCATTTCTTTTTGGCATTAAATGGGCCTCTGCTGCATGGGGGAAGGCTGTATGACAAGGACCTCTAAAAAAAAACTTTTGCATTTTATAACCAATAGGAAACCACTGAGTGTAGTAAGGTAATTAAATGTTTTGGCCACTGGAATGATACTAAAAACCTCCAGTTATTTAAATGTGCATAGGGATTTTGGATCGTTGCTAAGTACATTTTTTCTTTGTTTTTTTTTATTGTATGTATCAGGACTGATGTGTATTGTAGTCATTGCTGATGCCCAGGAGTAGTGGAAGTTTGATCGTAGGACTTGTTTTTGTATATTTGTAATTCAATGTTTTGCTTTCTGGCAGAGGGTTTCATTGTTACAACACCCACTGATCTAAATGTACCAGGTAAAAATCTATGCAGGAAAGCAGGATAAGGCAGAATTTGGCAACAAAATACATCAAATACGTAGAAGTGCTTTGCAGGCTTACCAGTTTCCAAATCTCCATCAACAAGGAATTCCAGGATGTTATTCATGGCTCCCATATAGAATATGAGACGGAGCTGGGTGACACACATAGTGATGAGACTCAGCATCAGGATTGGACTGAATACGCTTTTCATGAAGGATGGAGTTGCTGCAAGGGGAAGAAAATGAAATATCTTAAGAAATCTAACAACTTTGCTGCTGAACCCTATTATTGTACACAAATAATTGCATTCCCCATAATGCTCAGCCAATCCAGAGACATCTACAAGGCCAGGGTTGAACATTTCTAAGACGGGTAACAAAACCACAGGCTCCTACACACAAATGTTAAGAAAACAATGTCTGCCTTAACAAAGATTGAAAATATCAAACTCATGGTTCTGATTGTCTGCTGTGCAATGTGATCTACTCGTTCTAGGAATTGACCACTGGCCTAAGCAACGTACCTGCATTGCCTGTCTCACATTTCACCTCCAGGTCCACTGTGGATAGGCATAGCTTGTTTCCCTCCTGAAGAGCAGCCAATTCTTTGGGGTTTTTCATGGAGCCTCCAACACTAAGACGTCGGCCCACTGTTGTCACTTGCTTGTAGAATTGCTTTCCTGTGATTTTGTGGTCAAAGCCCAGCCAGCTGAACTTAATTTTCACACTGGAAGCAAGTAAGAAGATGACAGTTATGTAGCATCCTTTTAATATAGGAGTTGGAATGAAGAAGCCATCCTGCAGCCACTGAAGAACTTACGTGTAATCCATGTCTTCTGGGCCAGGAAATGGTTCTAGGGGCCAGTTGAAGAAGCAGTTGAAAAAGACAAGCACAGCACACGAGGCCCAGACTATTAATATAGTTACAAAACTCACATGAAGATCATAAATAACCTGGAAATGAAATCAGACAAGCAATGATTAAATGCTTTTGCTTGGAAAAAGCAAGAAACCATATTTATACAATGTTGACTGTACCATTAAACCTCATTCAATGTAAAAATATTTAAATATTGACTATAACTTATAACATTGGCATCTACCTTAGGGTTTGGGAAACAAAGTGTTCCAATGATTATATGTGTATGAGCCAAGAATGTTCAAGACTGTCATTCCCACATAAGTTAATGAGCTGTGAACTTGCTGGATTTGCCCCGAAGGCACTGGGTTTGGCAGATAATTACCAAACATTCAGGACAATTCCCCAATTTATATAAGAATAACAATCAGTAACATGATCATGCTACCAGAAAGTCATTACAAAACATGGAGCTAACGCATTCTCGTGAATTTATGTTCTTCGAAAACAAACTGATCAAAATGAAATGTCAACAAACCTAAATATTTCTCAGAATGCACCTTGTCTAAATGGAATACAGGAAAAAACAATCACCTTTATGAAGGGGAACGTGACTGCAGAGGAGGCATAAGATCCAATCATCAGTGCAATAAACGTTGAGCGCAGGTCCCCAAACATGTTCGGCAGCTATGAAAGAAAAGGTGATGGTTAGATGCAATTAAACTTTAAATAATAAGATTATCCAACTTGTAATTATGCTGCACATTTTTTTTCTGGTTTACAGGTATGTCTTGCGGTAAAGATTTAACCAAGCAGCTTAATGGTATTACTTTTACTGCCTTCAGAAATATAAAGGGCTAAGAGACCAAACCTCTGACAATGACATTTGAACTGGCACTATAAATACTGTTGCACTAATAACAGAACGATAGCATTGGCAAAGAATAACATTTTATCTTACTCTCATTTGATTTTTGAATCATAAGGGAAATTAAAAGATTTTATCCATGTTCTTTTGAAAGTGAGCTTATTACATTTAGCAGTCTTTGTGACAAATCTCTATTGTGTATATTGTCTGTGGTTCTGTATAAACTTGCAGTACATTAATAATAATATATTGCTAATATAACCCTGTCAATGGTGTAAGGTTTCTCTCCAAGATAATTCCGCTACGCAAACACAACTGATGGTTTGATTAGATTGTATGAAACCCAATTTACAGACTACAACTAGATCAGGACACAACAAAAGTTTAGGTAGCCGGTTCGTCTGTAACCACAAACTTGTTTTTGTTAGCTTGAATTGGCTACACCTACAATGGATGTTTATGTTGTACTCTGTCTGTACTTTCAATCCTTTGTTCCTGAAATATTAATGACAGTTTAAGGGACTCTCCAGATTCCAACAAAACAGTAATACACGTTATAGCTTCCACCCTGAATAATTAGAGGCGCACTAAAGGCATGTTCTTTGACAATTTTATATAGCACCCTTCTTCAGAAATGGCAATGTTTATATTTGTCAGAGAACATGGACATAATCTCTGCACCACGATCACTACACATAAAGATGTCGATTTAATTAAAATTGTAAATACTAAACTAGAAAGTCCACAAACCCCTGCAAGTCCTTAAAGCCCTGCTGAGCAGAGATTAATGGGATAAAGTCATCACTTTGAAATGTATTGCTGTTTCCTGACTGGATGGTCACTAGAGCTCCTTTTCTGACCCTCCACTCTAACCTGCTGGATCTAGTGACACATTTGTACATGCCACCAGAAAACACGGCAAAGAAATTTGAGATTTGATTTTCAATTTTCAGTGTTCTTTTTATAAAAGCTGTTAGCGGCACAATACAATGCATTACAAAAAAATGTCACTTTATACACTGAGTGCTGTTAAAAGGAGAAGATACAAATTATATCTGTTATATCTAAAATCTGTCATCTGTAGTTATGAGTTGGGAAAAATGATAAACACATACAAGAAAACAGGCCTCCGTAGCTTTATAAAGGGGCCTTTTATGGCCCCAAGTGAAAGTCAGTGATGTCTCATGCTTATAAGGTGTTGTGCTAGAACAGAGCTGGGTGAGGCTATCAATAAACTGTGCAATGTTTTCATTTGTACTAATCATTGCTTGCGAAACTATGATACTTTAGACGTTCCCTCTTGTTTATTTAAAAAAAAAAACACTCTCAAGCCCTAGAGGAAATCCTTCATATAGGAAGCTGAATAAAACACAGTATCCTGCTTCTGCTTTTACAAAGTGCTCCTTGATGTACTAAAACAAGGGGGAAATGTATGAGAACAGGAACTTGGATATACTAAGGTCTGACAATGTTTTAAAGCCATGTAACACTTTTTAACACCAGTAAGGATTCATGGGTTTCCCTCAAAGAAACCAACAGCTAGTTAAGATTGAACTAATTAGTGCGCTCATAGAGTTTCCACCAGACCCATTCAATAGATTTTGCTGTATGGGCAGAAAATGCCAAGTCTAAATGACCTGTACAGGTTCCCTCATGGAATTCTAAGAAAAAGGTCTGCATAGCAGCAACTTCCACTGTCCTGAATTATTTAATTCATGAAAAAACATGAATTAAGCTAAGCTGCATAACAGCCTTTTAACTTGAAGTTACTGAAGGCCATCTCTGCTATTTGCCATTCAGCAGAAGCTGAACTGCATATCCTTTGGTTTTATGGAACATGTATAGTACACAATTAGGCAATCAGGATTAGCGCGAAAGTTTAGCCATCTAATGGTCTTTGTACACCCCAGCAAGAAGGGAACAAGTGGGTATCAATATTGTTATTTTTTTCAACTCCAGGTCGCAAATGTGTCTAAGTGAAACCTGAGGGTTTAAAGATGCTAGACACTAGCCTTTTTGCACATTCCCCTGCAAGTAGGCGCAGTAATAGCGCTGATGAATTTCCATATTTTTGGTCCTGTTCCAATGCACAGAGTTTATGAGGAACATTTGACATCAGTTTTCGTGCCATCAATATGGAAATATAATCCTGTGATTCATGTCTAAATCCCAGGCTTCGCTGCCCACTAAAGGATGAAACATCTCAAGTAAAGGAGCATTGTTTCTGAAATGTGACATTGCATAAATTGCATCCTTGTTTATCCTCAAAATGAAGAGTAGGAGAATAGCGATTTTTGAAATGACCTTCTCTAATGCACAATGTTCTGTTCATTCTGCTCTGTGCTGGACCACTTATCAGCTCTCCCTGACCTGTATCTAGTAACAAATTACATGTGCACATTCTAAGCTATTGGTACATGGTTCTGCCTTGCTTTTGTAATAACAAACAAGCACATTCTGTCTGATCTCCTAAAACGGAGAACATCCCTCCCCTATCAAGCACCACTCAAACCGTACCAGTTTCCTGAGCAAACAATGATTTCTACAAGTTCTTGGATCAGATCCAGTCCATTATATATTCCATTAATTTTCTTTATACAATGTGTATTATTGTTTTGTGACCGATAGAAGGTGATTCACCTTGCCAGGACTAGCTTGGCATGAATACATGTACATAAGCTCAGTTGATCTGATTTGATTTAAAACTAGTATATAAAACTTGGAGCTCCTGTGAACTGACTCACAAAATGAATGTGAAAGGTAATGGAATCCAAGATCAGGAAATATTTGTTTCAGAATGACCTTTTAATACTATGCTTGTGTAAAAAGCTGACCATGCATGAACTCTCCAGGTAAGCACAAAGCTGGATCAATTATTAACTTTGTGTGCATCATAATGCGGGATATGACATAGGAGAGGTTTACAGGACATGTATGTCATATTTGTGAAGTAGTTTTATTCATAAAAAAAAAGAATGAAGTTATGCAACTGGTTGCTATTGGTGGTTTTGAAGAAACACAAAAAAACAATGTGTTGACAAGTTCAGTATGAGCAGAGTTTCTGTTGAAGTTATAATGAATGCCTATGAAACACACTTATCGTCCTTGTCTGGGAGTGACTTTCAGAGGCATATCGCTCATTATCCTGCAGCCTGCATTACTAGCAAGAAAAACCTGCTTGTGATAGATATAGTAGGAATAGCTATATCTCTAGGTAAACATACAATACGTTGGGGATTTTTTAAAAATAATATACTGCAGTATTCAAACAAATATATCAAATTATTACTTTTATTTATTTTAAAGAGATATTTGAATGCCTATAGTTAATCCTCAGGGTAAGTATGTTTTACCTACATTTGTTTTGCAAAACTAAATTTAGTTTTAAAAAAATGTGTTTTTCTTATATGGTCCAAAAATGATTACGGGTGTGTAGATGTATGAATTTCAGAGCCAGCTACCCATTCTACCCATCTAATGTCTGCAAACAGGGCTGCCATAAGAAAGTGTTGAGCACTGTGCACAGCTCAAGGCCTGAGCCCCTACGGCTTGCCTCCGAGTCCTCCCACAGGGCCCATACCCGAGTCCGCCAACAGTTTGTAGTAGATGCAGTGTGTGTGTAGTTGATACAGTGTTTTTGTAGTTGATGTGGTGTGTGTTGTAGATGCACTGTGTGTGTAGTAGGTGCAGTGTGTGCAGTGGATGCAGTTTGTGTGGTTAGTGGATGCAGTGTGTGTGTAGTGGATGCAGTGTGTGTGGTGGGTGCACTATATGTGTAGTGTGTGAGTAGTGGATGCACTGCGTCTGCCTTTTACCACTGGCCAGAGAGAGGGAACACTAGATTCCCTGGTGGTATGGAGGCACATCGAGTTATAGAGTGTAAAGGGGGCCCAGGAGTCTCCATTTTCCCCCTCTTGTGAGACTGGCATGTGTGCTGGGCGGACCGTTGCCATAGTTACCCACAGCAACGCTTTGACACCCAAGGTTCACAAGAAGACACTGCCGGAGATGGAACTTGAAATATCCTGGGCACCCTCTTCAGTATAGAAGCAAGAAGGGTTGAAACGTTGATTTATTTTTTGAACCTGTGAATACACTTTTCAAATGTGCTCCTTTTTTGACCTAATAAGTTTGCACTGGGAAGCACCCAGGTTAGTTCTATTTAATATATTTTTGGGTGGAGTGCCAGACTTGGGACTTACATATATATACATGACAACTCTCATAAAGATCTACATATATCTCTGTAAATTAAGAATAAGGGGGGAGAGGGCTATTGTGCTACACATTCATAGAATTGCTTTATGCACAAGCTTTTGATTATTATGCTTCCGGCAGGTAATACAGAGCATATTGTAAGGGACCAACGTTAAGCTTGTTATTAGATGATGATATTATACAGAATATGCAAGACTTGAAAACATGTGTTCAGATGTTGACTGCTCTGCGGTATGTCATCCATTGTTTATGTAGCCACTAATTCAATTACAGATTTTCATAATCTTAGTCAGACACACACATATGGGTCTGCTTCTAATATTGAGTATGGGGACTCTTGCTTTGTTGCAGTCTTCTTGTGTACCACATGGCTAATTTACCCAATCCAAGTCACATGACTTTTATGTTTTTTAAAAATAATATTATATATGCTTACTTTCCAACTTCTGGCAATATTTAATAGTTATATATATAATATGCCATGCTGTCTTTTTGCTATTCTTTTATTGTACCCATATTTACTATGTGTTAAACCTAGTCACATGATTGCAGTTGAAATCACATGACTATGATGTCATTTACTTGCAAGTTTTCAATTTTCCTCTCTTATAAAATAAGGAAATGCCGTGAAAGAATTTTTACACTTGACAAAGCCTTTTTTATTTGGTGAAATGTGTTAAAAATACATTTTATCTGTGGTTTTATATTTTAATTGTTACGTGAATAAATTTTAGTTGATTTATATTTCCATCTTGCTGCTTTTATTTGTCCTGGCTATACTGGAGGATCATCAGCTGGACTGTGGACATACACATCCCTGGCAGGGATCATACCACCCGTGCTGATTACACTAGGCAAATTAACTGCTCCATACATTGTAAGCAAGATTTAATTCTATATTTTTAAGCACTATATATCTCCTGTTAATTATATATATGTGATCAACGCCTTGCAAGGAGTCGTTACCACCATATATCCTAAGGCAAGGATTGTAAGGCTTTACACTGTGTATCCTAGGTTCTATGCTTGTGAGTGTTCTTTTTTATATTTTTTGCTTCTCCTATATGTATATCAGTTGTATATCTGGTTTTACACTATTGGAGGCTTGTTTTCTCTGTTCTTTTTCATTGCATAACTCCATCTGGGACCACTGAGGACATGTACAAGAACTATATCCGTAGGCAGAGATGGTACATGGTTCATCAGACTATAACATCAAACATACTACACTATTGGGCCCCTTGTTGTTTCTTTATCTTTTTTATTTTGATTTTTGTTACATATGACCATTGAGAATCTCGAGATCACAAAAAGATCTTCAATAATCATAAGCAAAACAAAAAACAAGGTCCCAATAGTGTAATATATTTGATGTTTTATATATATAAGAACCACATATAAGTGACCACTTACATGTGATAGAGTCTCATACAAGCTCTAGTAATACCAGCATACAGCTGTACAATCCACGAGAAGATTTGGACTTTTTCGTTACCTGCCGTGATTATTATTTCACATTGTGGTGTGTATATATGTGCTATTGTCTTGTATTTGTTGTTAGACAAAACCTGGTTTCTGATCATTTGTCTAGTGCTGTTCTTCGTATTTGGGCATAGAATGTCCCTTTTTGCCAGTGTGTGCTGCCTACGGATATCATTACATATTGTATCCACTTTGTATTATTTTCATTCTGACACATTCATATATGTAGAAAGTAAATACTGAGTTACAATAATGGATGACTTTCTCGTTTCACCTTATATTTATATAATATTATTAATAAGGGAAATTCAATTTAAAATGTGCCATTAAATGAGGTCACACAAACACAGGGATATTGACATAGCTCAAAGAATAAAACACACACTGTGAAAATAAAACAGTAGGAAAATGGGATCTTTCTCTAACGGATTACCGTTAAGTGTTCACATAAAATAAGTACTTATACAAACAAAACACTGGGCACGTAAAAACAAACAAATCACACAGATGAACTAACCCATTTACTGATTAGTGCAATGAGACAGAAGTTACATTATGACTGTGTTTGTGCTTTATCCAATGCTATCCCTTAGCAACAGAAATTATTGGTAGCACAGCCATGCTCATCCTAGCATCTAATAGCAAGATGCTGAGATGATCACATTTCTAAGGACGTCATAATAGTCACCACAAAGCCGGCATTGATTTTTCTTGTATTGGTCGGATAAGTACTTTAACAATCCAGGAACCATCAATGCTTACTTAATAACCAAATATTGTCATAAATCTTTGGATTAGTGCATTTCCAAACATCTGTTGGTTACATAAAGAAAGCACTGAAGTGTTAAATAGACACATTGTAATAAAATGCAAGAGAAGAGCAGAATTTAGACTTACTGTCAGTGAAGTGAAGGTCATACACATTCCACCAAAACCATTCAGACATAGGGCTACGAATATAAGCACCGACAGAGCTGCCATAATAGGGAGGAAAAAAAGAGTATGATGAGCGACTGGAATAAAAAACACAGATCTTCGGTTGTTCCTAATGCTACTATGAAGCTGCAATGCTGTACTGGTGTTAAAAAGAGAAAGCATGGGTTGACATTACTGATACAGGACTGATGAAGAGTGCATAGAGATGTCCACTAACTAGATCATATCCAACCTGCTATATTAATATTATATAAATGGCTTTACTCACAATTAGGGTTACTTGCTCCGTATGCAATCAGTAGACACGATACTCCAAAACTGGCACTGAAAGAAAAAAAAGACAATACAATAGGTTTAATTGTCCAGGATACAGGAGATTGAGAGCATCTTTGATGAAGAATATACAGACCTTCCACTTAGCCGGAGCTTGCGTGGTCCGTACTTGTCCATGATGATACCCAAGGGTAAAGAGATGGCACTGAGCAGAAACGATCCCACCGTAAAGGCTAAATTCAGCATTTCGTCTTGTTCCTTACACACCAGCCAGCCATTCAGCACTATGATCTGTTCTTTTTCTGTCTCATTCCCAAATACACTGCTAGTGTTGGTGCCATTTTCGAAGGTTATATTCTCTAAAAAAGGGAGAAGACAATAAGGGTAAGCAAATTACGCATAGACAATCTATTCAAACAAACAAAACTGTCTGTGACATTTTGATTAATTAGTTGTATGGATGAGCCTCGTGTGTAATGTAAGTGTTTATAGCAGCAATTCTATCATTATACCATAGCTGTATGGGGTATAAAAATATGTATTTTAAATTTTTTCATTACATTTTCATTGTATATATTTATCTACAAAAAATTATGTGGGTTTTCTCTAATGAAGTACACTGTATCCCACTTTGGCACTCATAAAGGATTTTAGTGTGTTCTATGGAAACATTTTGTAACTGATATTTCACTAATTAATACTGTCTGTAAAACTGAACTTATAAAAAAAACAAGTCTACCATAAATGGCAGGTTTTACAAACAAGTAGTGAGTATGGAAGAATTTAGGTCAATATATGTTTTAATAATAGCTAACTGTGAGGTGCATCTAACAGAATTCAACAGGATTTAAAATCTCCCTCTTTAAAGGACCACTCTAGGCACCCAGACCACTTCAGCTTAATGAAGTGGTCTGGGTGCCAGGTCCAGCTAGGATTAACCCTTTTTTTTTTATAAACATAGCAGTTTCAGAGAAACTGCTATGTTTATAAATGGGTTAATCCAGCCTCTAAATCCTCTAGTGGCTGTCTCATTGACAGCCGCTAGAGGCGCTTGCGTGCTTCTCACTGTGAAAATCATAGTGAGAAGATGCAAGCGTCCATAGGAAAGCAGCTCTTGCCGCGCATGCGCATTCAGCCGAAGAGGAGGATCGGAGGCGGAGAGGAAGAGGAGAGCTCCCCGCCCGGCGCTGGAATAAAGGTAAGTTTAACCCCTTTCCTCGCCATCCAGCCCTGCGGGAGGGGGACCCTGAGGGTGGGGGCACCCTCAGGGCACTATAGTGCCAGGGAAACGAGTATGTTTTCCTGGCACTATAGTGGTCCTTTAATAGTTTTTCAAGAATTATCTTATCACCCTGGCTTGCGTGCGTTAACATTTACTAATTATTTGAATCTAATGAAGAACAATTGCATTAGTTACAAATAAAACAGAATGGTTCAGCATAATCTTTAACCCATGGACCTACGCAAAGATATCTATAGGAATTTGAATGAAACCCCTTCAGAATTGAAACACTGTGTGAGACCATTTATTTGTAAGCCAACTTACTTTTTACATTTATTAAAAATACATGTTTCATGATTTATTTCTTGCATTCCTTCTTTTAATTGTATACATAGGAATTCAATAAAATGTTATGAAAAGATTACTTAACAGAAAAGATGATCATGAATATTTGTAATAACCTTCAAACTGTTGTGGTAGCAATTAACATGATATAGTGATTTAAACAAAATGCATTGGTGCTATACTGGATATAAGGCATGGTTAAAACATGATTTCAAATTTCAAACATGAAGACGAATTTGTTTAGATTTATCCTGAAAATCCTTTTTTTTTTTTTTTTAACTATAGAGAATTTAAGGAGTTTGCATTGAATTTGAAACCTTTACTACATAAATTATGTTAAAATATTTCTCCAAGTCCCACGCCTTGCAAAATCCCACACGGTGCAAAATTTGCTGTACATTGTGAGATTGCATCAATCAGTTTCACGATTAACTACAGTATGGATTAATGATTAACTTTGAAAAATAAATCTTTAAGATCTGTTATCAGTCTTGTCCAAGGAGTACAGTTTAGTTACACCTTGCATTGTTTGTGTTGCAGAGGGATGAACTGGAGAACAAACTAAATGCTTTGGCACTGAAGAGTTCAAATAGCACCAGTTTTGGCACCTCTGAGCTATGCATAAAACCAGCTAGTGGTTGAACAATCATGGCTTAGGTTGTGGTATACCTCCCTATTTTACCGTAAAAGATGAATCACACAGAGCAAAGTAACAACATTTTTGGATGATCCACCTGTGGTGGGATTCAGCCGGTTAACACAAACCGGCTTCTAAAATTTTGCTAAACAGGTCATTAAAATGGCAGAGTGATGCGTCGGGTTCTTGTTTCGTGACCGAGAGCCCCACACCGAGAGAGAGCCTGGCGGCTTGCCCTGTATACCGTTGGGTGTGAGGTTCCTCCACACAGTCCGCCGAGTGCAAAGCTGCAGACCATGTAGAAGAGACCTTGCGATCTTCAGCCAATCAGAGACACATCAAGTGCCGAAGCTTGCAAGATCTTCAACACATGGTCTGCAACTCTGCACTCGGCGGAGTTGCAGACTGGATAGCTAACCCACAAGGGCATGGATTACACACAAAAAAATAAACATTATTTCAGTGTGGGGAGGTTGGTCACTAAACAACAGCCTCCTCACATACACCACCCCCACATTGTCACCATCCCCATACACAGTTACCACCTCCCAAATTGTCACCATCCCCACACACTGTCACTATTCCCACACACTGTTACCATCTCTCACACTGTCAGCGTGTTTGCATTTCGTGAACAGCTGACATTTTTGACAGCAAACATCTGGTTCAAACAGATGAATTTTGACAACTGAACACTTAATGAGTAGACCTTCTAGAATCCAGCATATAGTTCAAAAATAGCTCAAAATAAATTTCATTTTGAACAAGATCTAACAAAAATCCACATTCAAAAAGCTAAAAATGTCACTTACATTTCTAATAATATTTCTAATATCGAACTGTAAATCATTCTAGCATAATATGTATTTCACTATAATGTACGTTTGCCATTTAGACAGAAAAGCTATAGGCAGGATGCTGTCTACTTCATACCCTCCCCCACTATGTTCCCCTATCGTCTTGGGACAAAAGCAAAACATGGATAAGGTAACAGGAAACATATGTGGGTTAAGGGTCATTGAGATAAACAAAAAAAGGGAGGAGATTTCTGGGTCCACTTTCAGCCAAGCAAATTGGTGGCCCAGGGCTTTTTTTTTAGAACACTGTTGCTAGGTGTTAAAGGTGCTGGTAGGAGCAATGCAGTACATGAGAACTAGGCAGTTGATATAAACTGTAAACATGTCTGTTTTAGATAGCACAGCCTGTCTGTACATAGATCTTAGCCTGTGTCCTTGTCAGAAAGGCTAATTTTAAGGATCCTGGCTTTATTCCCAAAGTAGAAATGATTTTGCATGCCTAATAGCCTTATTATTCAAATCTACAGGAAACTCCTCAGCAAAATAAATCAATAAATAAAAGATCTGTTTATTATACTGCTGAATGTATTATTATAGTATGGATGCATTGTATGGGGAAAAGAATATTAAAAAAACACACACACACAAGATAAAAGTTGCAACTTATTGCAACCCCCCCCCCCCCAAAAAAAAAACAAAATAAAAATCACTCAACAGGTCAAATTATCCAATTAGAGACTCCAACTCCAAACACTCGGCCATGTTTGTAGTCTATTTTGGATGAAATTTCAGAGTCAACTGCTGAAAATTTCTATTTTAGTGACTAAAAATGTTGAAGGACCACCATAGGCCAGGTCCATCTAGGATTAACACTTTCTGCTGTAAACATAGCAGTTTCGGTTAATCCAGCCTCTAGTGGCTGTCTCATTGACAGGCGCTAGAGGCGCTTCCGCTTCCGCGCTTCTCACTTTGATTTTCACAGTGAGAAGACACCAGCGTCCATAGAAAAGCATTCAGAATGCTTTCTTGTGAGACTGGCTGAATGCGCATTCAGCCGATGACATCAGAAGAGGGAGGAGAGTCCCAGCGCCGAGGGAGCCCGGCACTGGAAAAAAGGTAAGGGATTAACCCCTTCCTCCCCCTTCAGCCAGGCGGGAGTGGGAACCTGAGGGTGGGGGCACCCTCAGGGCACTATAATGCAGGAAAACGAGTTTGTTTTCCTGGCACTATAATGGTCCTTTAATTTATCCCTTTTAGAACCATAGTTGCTCAAAGTACAGGAAGCAATGCACTGGACAAGTCTGCTTTGTGTTTTCTCAACCATAATTTCCCCTTTTCTCATCAAGATACCAACCACACATTAGCTCTATCTGTCCTTTCAAAAATAATATATACTATGTGTACATGCCCTGAATGAGGCAAAATAAAAAATGCCAAGTCCACACTGTTCCAATAGTATTATTTCTTTATTTGTGGTGCACATATAGACATATGGACTCAGTGAAGAAAACTAGTACATTGTACCCTTTTCATCCTGGCATTTTAATACAAATATTTACCAATGTCTGTGTGATCCTAGTGGTAATACCCCTATTTATGTTCAGTTACATCTCCTGACTACAGAAATATCCCACATACATAGGTTTCACTCATTACCCATGGGTCCCTTTTTATATGCAATGTATTTATACACTGATCAGCCATAACATTAAAACAATTTACCTAATGTAGGTCTCCCCTCATGCTGCCAAAACAGCTCAGATACGTTGAGGCATGGACTGCACAAGACCTCTGAATGTGTCCTATGGTATCTGGCACCAAGGCATTAGCAACAGATCCTTTAAGTGATGCAAGTTGTGAGGTGGAGCCTACATGGTTCAATTTTTTTGTTCCAGCACATCCCACAGATACTCAATAGGACTGAGATATGGGGAATTTGGAGGCCAAGGCAACACCTTGTCATATTCCTCAAACCATTCATGAACACTTTTTGTACTGATCGGAAAAAAAAACATGATTCATTAGACAAGGAAACTTTCTTCCATTGCTCCATGGTCCAGTTCTAATAATCACGTACCCATTGAAGGCGCTTTCAACGGTGGCCAGCGGTCATCATAGGCACTCTGACCGGTCTGTGGCTACACAGTCCCATATGCAACAAATGGCAATACACTGTGTGTTCTGATATCTGTCTATCATGGCCAGCATTATAGTTTTTTAGCATTTTGAGCTGGAGTAGCTCTTCTGTGTGTTTGGACCAGACAAGAGAGCTAGATTTCACTCCCCACATGCATCAATGGGCCTTGGTGTTCATGAGCCTAATACCAGTTCACCGGTTGTCCTTGCTTGCATCTCTTTTGATAAGTACTAATAACTGCTCACCAGAAATACCCCACAAGACTTGCCGTTTTGGAGATGCTCTGACCCAACATCCCTATTTGGCCGTTGTCAAAGCCACTCAGACCTTCTCGCTTGCCCATTGTTCATGTTTCCAACACATTCAAATCAAGAACTGACTATTCACTTGCTGACTAATATATCCCACCCCAGGTGCCATTGTAACAATATAAGTAATGTTATTCACTTCACCTGTCTGTGGTTTTAATGGTGTGGTTGATCAAATGTTTAAAAATTTTGTAATATATATTATTCTGGGTGGCAGTAGCAATGTGTGTCCATTCTGTCATGTGTTGTAAAATTGTGTCTCAGTGTATTATATATGACCTTCAGTGCAGCAGCCAGTGTGGCTAGAACCCAGCAGGTGACCAATGGCAAGTATTGAAATATGTGCTTACATTTTGTAATTTCTGCTGAAGTCAATTAAAAACTACCACTATTGATATAAGTCTTAGACAGCATTACTGAATACCTATATATTTATTATTCCTTTTTTTTTAATTGGGAACTGTAGAGAACAAACAATTAAAAATCTTTTAAATTATAGTTTAATACACGCTACTGTTATTAGGTGTACTTAGCGGCATACCTTGTAGTCTTTTGGCTTTTTCAACGTATTTTTTTGCAGTTTATTGATGACTAAATTAAGCCATGGTCAGCACCATGGAAACTGCTAGCTTAAAATAATCATATTTAGTTTGGAAATGAACAGGCTTGAAGTAGGAAGCCCCCTGCAATGCTGGACAATACTTTGGCCTGCCAATAGCTTGAAAATTACACCATTAAATATACATATTGCCTAGTGGATGAACCAGGAAAGAAGCCAAGGGCTGACAATGTGCGGTATGAACTTTACGTTTTTTTTTCTTTCTTTCTCACTCATCCAAAGAAAAGAGGAAATCAATGCAATTATTTTTTGCCTAAATAATAAACTGCATTTTTTTGCATGCTCAAATGGTTATACAAAGTATAAAACAATGAATGATTTGCATCATTCTGCATGTTAATCCTAAAACCTTTGTCCCCACCTCTCTATTCCAAAACACTTCTTGTGGGTTATTCTACCTGGGTATCACATGATATCACAACTCCCTGTCTGCCCCTCTCTCCTAACCTGCAGTGTTTCTCCAACAACACAGATGTTCATGTCATGAAAAAGCAAAAGCAGGGTTTATAGAAGGTGTAAATAAAGTAAAAAGGTGATAACTTCCAACTTCCAGAAACCCCATCTACCCATGAAATTTGCTATACAGAAATGTATGGGATAAAGTCAGCACTTTGAAAAGTGTCAAAAATGTATTCGGGGTTCGTGACCCTGACACCAGTTCACTGGTTGTCCTTCCTTGAGCCTCTTTTGATATTTTGAGTTTTGAGCATTTTGATTGGTTACTCGGTTCCTTGCCTGGACAATGCTTACTCTTGCGCATGTAAATACTGGGAAGCTATTGAAATTGAAGCAATTTCTCTTACCTTTTTATCAAATACATGAAAACAATTAATTTTGCATGTAATAGATATTAACAAGGAAAGTGAAACAAAATGCTCTATTGAGTAATTCCATTTTCTGGGGTTTAATGTCTCGGGTGAATGCTGCCTTCTTATTGTGCATTTGCACAGTTATTGGTCATTAGCCTTGCACTGGGAGTAAAGGTTCGGGGCAGTTATATATTTTACTGCGTTTATATTTACCTGGCAGCAATGGGAGTACATTCCAGGCATAACATTGCTTAAGAAAGGCATTAACCCCAATGTATACAGTCTTTTACAGCCCATAAATGTAATGAAAACAAAACAAAACATTAACTTGTTGCCTTTTTAATGGTGCGGTGGTTTACATTTTAAATAATGGATCATCCAAAATACCACCATTTTCACAGCAGAATTTTCCATTAAACTTTAGTGGGATTATTAACTTAACATCGAATTGTAATTTAAGAAGTGCCCTGAAAAATTACTCTGTCTACATCACCACAGCTCAGTTGGTAAAAAGACAAAGATTTAAGTTTGGCCCAATAAAATTCTCTCTGAACAGCAATGAATGTATGTAGGTTTTATTTCCAGCAGTTTCTATTAACAACGTAATAACGGTTTTGTGAAACAAATATGTGTAACGTAAAGTGAAAATAAATATATACTCTTATCTGACACAAAGCTAAGCCTTTTCTTTTTTCGTTCCATGCGATAAAAATGGCTGAATCTCCATCAGACTGTGTTTGCCTTGCCTTGGACAATATCTCACTTTTGAGCTTTGCAGTGTGCTTTAGTGAAGAGGTCAGCCAATGTCATGTAACCCTTCGGCTTAGAGTAAACCTTGGGTCACTGAGTTTGGATTAGTAATTTATCCTATATAATAGCTAGTCAGTCATGATGACAGTGATATGCTAAGAAAAGCTTTGCACAGGCAGAATTATCAGCGAGAGGTCAGGTATTATGTAGGGAAAAGGGGGGACAAAACAAAAAGAATTAACTAAGAAAGAAGTATTACAATTGGTCAGAAAAAAACCCAGCACAAAGGCAAAATTAAAGGAGGTTAAGTAACGTAAAAGGTCTTCACTCAAGTGATTATTTAATTTATGTCTAATTAAGCAAAAGTGATTAATTGTTTAACGTTAAGTATATTAGTCTAGTAGTTAACAGTTGTAGTCATAGTTAACATGCAGTATCATAAAGAATCATCGCTAGGCACAGGGTTCTATTTTTAAGTGTCATATATGTTTATTAAAGGATCACTAAAGTGTCAGGAAAACAAAGTGGTTTTCCTGACACTATAGTGCCCTGAGGGTGCCCCCACCCTCAGGGTCCCCCTCACGTGATTCATTGAGCTGAAGTGGTCTGGGTGACTATAGTGTCCTTTTAACTAGTTTATATTTGACATTTTTCTTATCTCATATTCTGTGAATTGCACTGCAAAAATCAGCTGTTTCTGCTGATTTGCATAGTGGTGGAGAATTTCTCTTATTCACAGTATAATATTGACCAGTGGGACTTTACAAACATTGTTATGTCAAATGAGCTACAGATTAAGTAACCATCAATCCCAAAACCCTGTTATTTGTTTAGTATTGGTTTGTTTGAGCCCAAAATGTACCTATTGGAATGTTACCATTTTTGTGGGTTAAGACAGACAGTGCTTAATTATTATTATTATCAATAAATATCGGCGTTGCCTGATTGAAATATAAGAGGGTCTACGAACGTGCCCTTTAGACATATATTTATGGATGGTGTCAAAATTTTCCCAAATCACCCTAGTTCAGAAACTCTACTAATGTTTGTGTGAGTTTTGGTTTTCTAGAGACCTCATACTTGCTGAGTTGGGCTGTTTATCTCTGTAAAGTGAGAACAGGTTTGCTGTGCTGTGTAGTTAGGTTGCATACAGTAAAATGCTCGGTGCGTCTTTTGCATATATTCTACTACTTAAAATAGCACTTTCCTTTATCCTATCACTTTGCCATGAAGGTAACTAGCACACAATTGTGCTTCTCTACGCTGGAAATCTATTCATTAACAAAGAAAGACACACAGACACAAAAAGAGCGACACAAAGAAAGGTTTGAACTCTGAGCCATTAGTGGAAGGTCATTCAATAGAAAATGAACAGTCTCTTCCCCCTCCTCCTACCTGTGACTTACAATCTTTATTACAGTCAAATTTCCTAGTAAGCTGGAGTCACAAAACAGAATTCAATGTTTAAGTGGCGTGGACTAATTGAGTAATTGTGTTTTTATTCACAGAAAAAAAAAGTATTAACCTCAAGATACATGGGCTTGTTGCCAAATGTTTATTACATCAGTCTGATAATATATGGTACAGAGTAATAGTCTCAACTACTGTTAAATGACTCAAAAGTCTGCGTAGGACTGAGATACCTTTGATTGACCACTGTTTCCATTATAAAAGGGCTTGACATTACAATACCTAATCCTTCTTTAGAAGGTGTAGTATTTCCTACGTGTGCTTTACAAACAGAACAGAAGACTCAGATGTACACATTTGAAAACCAATGTAAAAATAGCTGACAATATAGTAAAGGGACCGTTCTCAGTCATGCTCTCCATAGGCAGGCCATCACCTGCGACCACATATCACGTTACTCTGATTGTCTAGTAAAGCAGGGATGATTATTTTACAACAGTATTTCTTTGCCATTACTAACCAAGAAGTAACTTCATCAACCAAATATAGTTGGTTTCTCAAGTACAATTCATATCTGAAATCAGCTGTTTTAAAGATGTCTTCATATGTCCTACTAGGAGTGCACATATCCGGTGAAGAATATGTACCTTTCAAAAATAGAACCTTAATATTTGAAACTGTGTTGATGAAGGGTGTTTGTTCTTATTAGTGTCCTATCACTGGTTCACGATATACTTCACTGCCTATTATATGTGTTCACTATAGTGTAGCTGGCAATACCACGTGACACTGGTCGTTATATGTAATGATATGGTAATGTGATTCTGGTGACTTTTCAAGACATTGTTTCCAGTTAAACTGTAGATTGTGAAATAAGGAAGAAATGTTCTGTTACCGGAGGAATAACAGGAACAAACCGCAGAAGCCACACATAGAGATATGGGCACAAGTCTTCAGGAAGTAACAGGTCTTTTATTTACACACCGATCGGGTCTCAGATGAATTCCTGTTCCAAAAATATCTGAGAGGCAGAAAGCATGGTTCAGAGGCCTTTTGTTAGCGGCATATCCCCTCCTATATAGTATAACCCCTCCTATATTCAGGATCACCTTATATGGGCAGACCACATGGCTCATCCGAAACAAAGGAGAAAGGAGTGTGATTTCAGTTCCTGCATTCCTGCACATGCTTAGTATACTGATGACTCATCCAACTGTTTGTAATCAGATACTAATTAGCATATGCCATGTGGAGAATTTGGCCTACAAAATTTTGACCATGTGGGAATCCCATCACAGTTCAATGGTAAACATATGTAAACAGGCTTCTGCTGCTATTTGTTAATACAGGAACCCATAGACATACATCCCAGTTAAAAAGCTAGATGTGTATCATTTCAGCACAAGTCATATTAAAGGAACACTCTGGGCACCATTAATGAAATTGTTTTTGTGACAGGAGGTCCCAGGTGTTTTCTTACCTGGAGGGGTTAAACCGTTCTCTCCAGGTTCTGCAAATGAGTTTCAGGAAGCTGAGCAAGGGGCCGGGCACCTCAAATATAGTATAAAAGTTAAATTAAATTAAAATGCAGTAATTCAAATCATATCAGGCACTGTCTGTCTTAGATAGTGAGCAGTGGTGGTAAAATGTTTTACCAGGGCCTGACTGACGGGTTAAACTGAGAACTGCCAAGGAGACTAGACTGACGAACCTGTACTCCTGTATTATGGATTAATGTGTCAGGGAGACAATGCCTGAATAGGTCTGTGATAATATCTTTCTGACATTATAAATTACTTTAATATTAAAAGAGAAATTTACAGTTATTTTTATTTGTAGAAAACGCCATGACCTAAACAGTCACATTCACTCACACACTGTTAAAATGAATATGTCCGTCAAAGCGTTAATATTTTTGTCATAAGTGGCTTTTGCAACAAATAAAAAATATTTATGCAATTTCCTTTTTTTAACACTAAATGATAATCCATAACGATAGCCAGGCACTGTGGGGTGTCATTCCTAAATTTTGTAGAGTAAGTGAGAAGGCCAGCTCGGATACTAAGGCACACTAACAATGAAACCCTGGTTCTAAAACCAGTTTACATAGAAACTCTTAACTTTCAATAAACAAAAAAATAAATCTAAGCAGCACCTAAGATTAGTAAGCATTCCTAAACTGTTAACACCTGGTGACCGAGAGGACAAGTATGCAAGCTATTCAATGAGTCTGTCTGTTGTGAAGAGACATTGTTTAGCTTTTACCTCAACCTATGACCAATATATGTAAAATTAGCCAAGAGCCTTTTTTAGGAGAACATTTATAGAGTTGCATAAAAAAAACTTATTAACAGTAGGATTGTTAGCACATGGTTCCCTACGATTTGTCAAAAAATTATCTATTACTTATTCATTAAATAAAAATGGCGGCACATTTAATTTCACATGGCTATTAACTGGGATGAACTATTTTTATAAATGACTTTCTTTGCATTCTATAAGAGACTCAGTCCACGCTTATATTTGTTATTATTGTTTGTTTAAACCATACTGTACATGTTTGTCTTTGATAGTGTTGTTTATACTCCAACACTTTTTTGGTAGATAATGCGCTGGAGTACAGAAAGGTATTTATTCAAGCTAGCCTTCCTTGATGTTATAACACAATCATCATTACTTGAGTTTCAATACAGAGAAAGCATAGTCAACAGATTACATAGATTAAACCTGGTAATGGAAAGGGTAAATGGATTATTTTGGTGCTTACTATAGGAGGTGGTGACAGCAACTAAACCACCAGGGAGCCCATTAGATAAAGGTAAAAAAAGCCTTAAAAAACAAGAAATGTTATCTTTTTGTGGATTCATCCACTCAATCCTGAACTAATAGGTGATTAATTGTATTTAATTACCAAATGGCAATTTGATTGTTTGATTACTTTCAGATAAGCCTAGAAATCAGGATTACAAATTAAAAGATCATCCCTAGGACCCACCCTCAGGGCCCACCTCCCTTGGCGCTGAAGGGGTTAAACCCCCTTCAGTTACTTACCTTTATCCATCACCGGGCTCCCTCGGCGCTGCTGACCTCTCCTCCCCGGCCGATGTCAGCTCCCGATATTAGTCCTGAACCTGCACTTTTACTGACATTACAGAAATGAAAAGAGCTGGTTTGAGTATATAAACAGTATGTACTCTGGTGCTATTATGTCTGCTTTTGATATGTGTGACATGTGTGGTGTCACCGTTTTTTGTTCACTAAGGGTGTCACTCTGGTGTCTCCCCATAAGGTCATCTGGTATTGTTAAAAACATTTATATTTCCTGCATTCAGACCCAGAAACAGGATGCTTTACTGGTGAGGTGTGTGCAGTGTCAGTCTGCCCCCTCCCGCTCTTTAGCTAGTGTTCATTTGGAGGCTTCTCACAACAGGATGTCAGTGTTTAATAAATAAAGAATTATATGGTTTTAGAACTTTAGAGCTTTTTTTTTTTTCTTTATGGTTTTTAACATTGAGCTAACTAGCAGAGGGAAACCTGGAAGAAAATGTTGTTTGGTCTTAATTCAATAAACTTTATTGTTGTACTAAAGAATGTGGCATGCCTAGTAAACATATACTTAAACAATGATTTTACCTTTTGGTTCAAAGAAGTAAGGTGAATTGTTGGGGTACGACTCACTTTTTGCCTTGACGTGGAGGTAAGCTTATACTTGAATCGCTACTGCAGTGACACTAAAAACCTCCAGTTATCTAAATGTGGATAGGGATTTCGGATAGTGCGCAAGTCACCTATCGTGTCCAGCATTAAGGTTTTTTTTTTGCAATTTGAGCTACAGTAGCTGTGTGATTGGACCAGACATGCTAGCCTTCGCTCCCCACGTGCATCATGAGCTTTCATAGCCCTGACGCCGGTTCACAATTTGTCCTTCTTTGCACCACTTTTGGTATGTACTAATCACCGCATACCAGGAACACCCCACAAGACTTGTTGGTTTGGAGATGATCTGACCGAATCGTCTAGCCATCACTATTTGGCCCTTGTCAAAGTCTCTCAGACTTTTTGCTTGCCCATTGTTCCTGCTGAATGTTCACTAGCTGCCTAATATATCCCACCCTAGGTGCCATTCTAACGATATAATCAATGTTATTCACATCACTGGTCAGTGGTTTTAATGTTGTGGCTGATCAGTGTGTACACTGCTCAAAAAAATAAAGGGAACACTTAAACAACACATTGTAACTCCATGTCAATCACACTTCTGTGAAATCAAACTGTCCACTTAGGAAGCAACACTGAGTGACAATCAATTTCACATGCTGTTGTGCAAATGGGATAGACAACAGGTGAAAAATGATAGGCAATTAGCAAGACACCCCCAATAAAGGAGTGGTTCTGCAGGTGGTGACCACAGACCACTTCTCAGTTCCTATGCTTCCTGGCTGATGTTTTGGTCACTTTTGAATGCTGGCGGTGCTTTCACTCTAGTGGTAGCATGAGACGGACTCTACAACCCACACAAGTGGCTCAGGTAGTGCAGCTCATCCAGGATGGCACATCAATGCGAGCTGTGGCAAGAAGGTTTGCTGTGTCTGTCAGCGTAGAGCATGGAGGCACTACCAGGAGACAGGCCAGTACATCAGGAGACGTGGAGGAGGCTGTAGGAGGAACACAACCCAGCAGCAGGACCGCTACCTCCGCCTTTGTGTAAGGAGGAACAGGAGGAGCACTGCCAGAGCCCTGCAAAATGACCTCCAGCAGGCCACAAATGTACATGTGTCTGCTCAAATGGTCAGAAACAGACTCCATGAGGGCCCAACACCATGCAGGACGTTTGGCATTTGCCAGAGAACACCAAGATTGGCAAATTCACCACTCGTGCCCTGTGCTCTTCACAGATGAAAGCAGGTTCACACTGAGCACATGTGACAGACGTGACAGAGTCTGGAGACGCCGTGGAGAACGTTCTGCTGCCTGCAACATCCTCCAGCATGACCGGTTTGGCAGTGGGTCAGTAATGGTGTGGGGTGCCATTTCTTCGGGAAGGGGGGGTGCACAGCCCTCCATGTGCTTGCCAGAGGTAGCCTGACTGCCATTAGGTACTGATATGAGATCCTCAGACCCCTTGTGAGACCATATGCTGGTGCGGATGGTCCTGGGTTCCTTCTAATGCAAGACAATGCTAGACCTCATGTGGCTGGAGTGTGTCAGCAGTTCCTGCAAGACGAAGGCATTGATGCTATGGACTGGCCCGCCCGTTCCCAAGACCTGAATCCAATTGAGCACATCCAAGACATCATGTCTCGCTCCATCCACCAATGTCATGTTGCACCACAGACTGTCCAGGAGTTGGCAGATGCTTTAGTCCAGGTCTGGGAGGAGATCCCTCAGGAGACCATCCGCCACCTCATCAGGAGCATGCACGGGCATTGTAGGGAGGTCATACAGGCACGTGGAGGCCACACACACTACTGAGCCTCATTTTGACTTGTTTTAAGGACATTACATCAAAGTTGGATCAGACTGTAGTGTGTTTTTCCACTTTAATTTTGAGTGTGACTCCAAATCCACACCTCCATGGGTTGAAAAATTTGATTTCCATTTTTTTATTTTTGTGTGATTATGTTATCAGCACATTCAACTATGTAAAGAACAAAGTATTTCAGAAGAATATTTAATTCATTCAGATCTAGGATGTGCTATTTTTGTGTTCCCTTTATTTTTTTTTGAGCAGTGTATATTTATTTATTTTTGTCACTTGCTATAAATATTTTAGACAAATAGATGATGGAAAAAAAATGTTTTGATGCACATTTATTTTCTATCAATTGTATCTGTAATGTTTCCGTCCATTTACCAACTAATAATGTCCCCTTTTCTTATCTTAAAATGTGTGCATTCGCCATAGCGGATACCATATAGCTAAATGTGGCATGAAAAACTAGCAGCCCTATGATTCATTAATGGTACACAGAGAGGCCAAGCAAATATCCTGAGCGGATTCTTCGAGTGAGACTGATTTAGACCGGGCTGGATGTACCTTATCAAAGTTCAGAGGAAGGTTCAGCACTCCTGGAAGCTGCAGGGACAGACAGCTGAGATTTACTTAACAGTCCAAAGGGCAGCTCCTGGAGTGCTGAGATGCTGATTCTGGACAGATTAAAGATAGCAGGCGCACACTGCAGATGTGATCAGAGTCCTTCTTTCATATCGTATATTTTATGCTACATCTACTTTATTTCTTGCCTCTGCCAGCAGCTTTTACAGCAAATTATGACTAAAGCAATTCCTGAATTGGTTACCAGATTGCTAAACCAAGAAAAATTATCTCGCCCTTTGTCCCTGTGGTAAAGTCAAGTGCTAATTAAAATAATTGAGGTGTGGCAAAGGGGTTATAGTAAGAAAGGTTTATAGAGCATATAAGGTTTTCTTTTGATCTCTTCCAAAGTGGTATTCCAGGCACTATTCCAGCTCCACTGATACTATATTAATTCATTATGGCCCAGAGTGTGTAATATGGGGAGATTACAGTTACATATTACATGTAATATACGCTAACGGGGAGCACAAGGTTGATAGGAAAAATAAGATGGTTTTAAAGTGCACCATTACTATTTGAATGTTGCCATCATTACCTACTGTTCCTCTATGTCATACATGTTTTCTTAGGACTACATTTTTGGCTTGTTTACCTATTGTACAGCGCTGTGGAATATGTTGGCGCAATATAAATCATTGTAATTTTAAGCTGTATAATTCAAATAATTCTTGTTTCACTATTTATCTAATGTAATCGAGTGACAGATATTTGCAGACCAATATGGAAAGCCACTAATTGCACCACCTAATTGTGAAAAAAAGAAAACACACACAAACTAATGTTTCTCTTTAGGTCCAGTTTGTTTTGTCCATTTGTTCATTTACTTTGCTGTTCTATCAGATGTCCTCCTGTTTAAATAAAAGGCTAGACAATGTGATAAAAGACCAGCTGTCTGTGACCATTTTGAGTCTCTTTAAGAGCACTGGGAAACGGATGGGCATGGTACTAGTTTAAATGGATTCTATAGTGTTAGGAAGACAAATCTGTATTCCTAACACTATAGTGCCCTCTGGTCCCACCTTACTCGTCCCCCCACCCCCGGCGCCAGGCAGATAAATGGTTAAAAACCTGATTCCAGCGCCGATGTGCTGGGACTGCGCTTTGCCTCTTCCGAAATCATCCTACAGGGGGACCTAATGTGCATGCACCACGAGCTGGATATGACTGATGCTTGATATCCTCATGCAGAGCGTGAGGACGTCCAGTGTCGTTTAAGGGACTCAGAGTCTCTTAGAATCCCAGGAAGCGGATCTAGTGGCCATCTGGTAGATAGCCACTGGAGGCAGTCTGTGTCCTGTAAAATATATTTTTTTTCAAAAACTGCAATGTTTTACATTACAAGACTAAGGGGGATATAGGCTTTGTATATTTTTACATGCTAAGAAAATGGCATAGACAGGTATTCAATAAGCACGTGAGCTACTTGCTCATTCACTCTCGTGTGACTGGCAGTAAGTTGTGGATAGATAACAAATTCAAGCCGATGTCAAACTTTTTCAGAAAATGTGTATTTTCAGCACTAATTTCAGTGGAAAAAGGGTGACTCCCACTCCTCCTGAGAGTTATTTCACACCCAATGTATGTCCACATACACAAACCACTTTAGTAACTCTTTAAGTGTTGTGTGCTAGGTCCCTCACAGCTAAATAAAGATGATGACGATTAACAAATTCTTATTTGGTAAACATCCACTCTCTGAACCTAATACAAAAAGAGAATGAAAATCTCAGGTGACTAGGTACATTCTTGTGAGGGTGACTTACTAATATTTTGAATGTATCTGCAAGCAGACATTCAATGTCCAAAGCAAATGCAATGTGCAGTTTGCTGTAATGTCACAGGGCAACACATGGTGAGTACACAAATAGGGGCATACCACAAATCCTGGACATATGCTTGCCATTTGCACACCTCCAGTCTTCGTTCTTCTTGCACATACTGACAGAGAATAGAATTGCCATGCAAGGTAGGCTGCCAATTTAGAAGAGAGTTGGCTTAAAAATGTTCCCCAAGCTACAAAGCAACTTTACAGATTTGATGCCATCGATGCTGGTGTCTCAGTCGGCATGGTCGTTGTAATAGCATAAACCTACAGCAGCTTTTTAATATAAAGCAGGGGAGATGGTATAGTACATTGTATTAGTCATAATAATAACACTTCTGTAAAGTTTTATTGATCTAGAATTCATAATGGCAAGCTATAATAAAGTGTATTTATAGGGAAAATAAATCCACTTTAATACTGTCCCTGGTATAGTCCTCTAGAAATACATTAGTGGACAAAACACAAATGAGGGCAGGGGCCTAAAAAAAGAGAACCTGACTTCACTGAAATACCTCCAATTAAAGGTCATTCAAAGGTAGCAAACAAAAATTTAGCTTCAATTATTAATACATCTAAATACATTTGTGGTAAAGTTTTCCTAGAGATTTTTCAAAGGCATCAGCACAGACATATCCTGCTCTATAAATCCTATCACAAGATTAGACAAGCTTTTACTGATACATAAATGTCTATGATCTGTAATGACTGTAGACAGGAGACGTACCTATCTCTATCTCTAAATATATCCGCAAGGTGGGGGAGGGATTTAGTAGAACTCATTGTTTTGTCTATGACTGGCAAATAGATGGGCACTCTGTTGGTACATTGTAACCTTTGAGGATACATTAGTAACTCTAAGGTACCAAGGCCTGGAGCTTGTACATGCCTTCTGAAAGTTGTAGAATGAAAGAATACTACTGCAGGTAGGGCAGTGCTTAAAGTATGATGCATGTACCAAGCATTTACAGAGGTGGTGATTGCAAAGTAGACACAAGTAAGTAGAGCAACACGCCATTCTCTGAAAAGTCATATATATACAGGGCTTAAAATGTCAAGTCCACTCTACTAGCCAGGCCTTTTACTTACCACTGCAAGCCTGGAGGGACCAGGGGTGAATTTCTCCTCACCAAGGCAAAATTTTCATTCGCCAATGGCTAGTGGGAAGTGGAAATTTTGAGCCCTGTATATATATATATATATATATATATATATATAACATATATCCTTTGAAGCAAACACATGGTAGTCCAGAATCCTGTTACTACTGTGCAGTGTGTGACTTTGACTAATAACAGCGTATTTACCATAAACCCCTTAAGCAGTTATATTAAACAGCTCAGTGATTTATTTATTTTTCCGACAACCCAAAAATAGATCCACAATGAATATTCAAGAGACAATAGTACTGAGTTACCTTTTCTCTGCAGAATTTAGTATAGTCCACAGTATAAGAGTGATACCTTTTTTAGTTTTTATTCTTCTCTGGAAATTGTCCTTTGTCACTATATATCTAGTTTTCGACTCGCCAACGCGTTGATATAAAAGTATCTATTTTAAAACTTTATTTTAAAGTTTTATTCTATTTTCAGTATGCCAACTCTGTGATGTATTTGCTCACAATGGGTAGTTTACCATTCACCAAGCCACCTGACAGTGCATTATACTGTGTTACTGTATGATGCACATTGTGGGACGACGCAGTTTACAACATAAGTCCTTATCTCTAGATCCACACATTTGTACTCAGGCATCTTGATTACTATATGTGATGTCAATGGGTGTAAAATTCCAAGCACAGCATACCTATCATGCCACATTATATCTCTGCCAAAAAGGTTTCAGGGTACACTAGTATTTTTTAGTATTATGGAACAGGATATTTGTCATATGTAAAAAAAATATTACTCCTGAGGGTGTTCACATACCTCATTATTATTTTGTTTACAGATCATACTACACATTTAAATTGCTTTACGTTGAGTGAAATCTGTAGTATGCATATGAATTGCTATAATTTTAGAATAATAAATGAATGAAGAATCTCAGCATCCATCTTACCTGGATAGTGACACAAATAAGAATAGAACCCTTCTGATTTCAGCATGATAAGAAGGGAGCCCCAGCCTAGAAGCACTGCAGAAAAGAAAAGGTTCTCTACCACAGCCGTGCACGCCATCCACCATCGGCGCCGATGCGCCGTAGCCAAGGTTGGAGCCATTGTCTGTGTTTCTTATTTCCCTTTTATAAATGTGAACCTGGAAAACAAGACATTATATTTTATCTGCTGAGTCAAAACAGATAGATTAGATTGTATGACATTTTTACTTCTTTAATGTAAATAAGATCATCTAATTTGTTGTCACAGAGCGGACTTAATTACCATGAATAAGGTCTGTTTTTACAGTTGGTTCCATTTCTGATATTCACTACCAGTGCAGGAATAAAGGGAACACAATGGCAATGTCCTGAGAGATTTTAGGTGACATACTAATAACAATTTATGAAAATAAAATGTAATTTAGAACAAAACCAATGTATCTTATTTACACAGATTGATTTCTAAACACATTTATTTAAAGACACATTACTGTGAGTATTAATGCTGAGGAGCTCTGTTATACACTCAGATATACCCAGAATAGTAAATTCCTAGAAAAGACAGACATTAGGATAGCAAAGAGGAACAGAGAGACTTGGGTCCAAATTAAGGGCTATCCTTTCTAAAAAGAGATAATTTGAAAGTATATGTTGTACTTTTCTTTTGTCTTGTTTTTTACTGCAGATTTGTTTGTGCGTGTAGCAATACACACATGCATGTTCAATAATTCCCATGAATGAATAGGAGATAAGTGATCATAACTACTACCTGGTTTGAGTGGACGTCACTGTAGAAAAGACATTTTAGGATAAGTGCCATTTTTTAACCACATTTTTGTACATTTCCTAGATAATGCTGAACAAATGACTGGCAATGCCACCCCAGTGTCTCCTTCTTATTAGCTATCTTTTTTTCCGTTTCTTATTATTATAGACTACTGTAGCTTTAATGCAACAAATTTTCTAACTCTTGTACCTTCAGAATGCTCAGTACACTACTATTTAGAAACTCTTTACTGTGTTTCAGAATCAAAAGGTGTCGTAATATCATGCGCATTAGCTAATGCAGTGAAAATGTACCATGAACTCGGCTGAGTAATGGATATTGAGTCTAATTGATTTCACAAGGGGCAAGAAAGCCATGGCTCTTATTGAGAAAATGGTTGGACTGAATAAGATGTGCAATAATGGAAGGCAAAAGAAAATCTAAGGTGGTCAATCACTTCTATGTCTCACGTACTGTCATCTCCTGGTAAATCCACCACAAAAATAAATAAGAATTTCAAATAGACCAGAAATAATCAAGTGTTTAAAATGCATAAACCTTACAGTGACAGCTGCAATCTATGGCCTCAGCCATGCCTTTGTTAATGTGATAGTGGAAGGGTTAATTAGGGCATAGCAAAGTCAATGAGTTCTGTCTTATCAAATGTTTGAGGGGCAAAGATCTAATGGTATAAATCCTGGGTAAAGATTCAAAGTAGCAGTGAGAAAACGGTAAACAGATAAGTGAGTTGTTTCCTTAAAGGATCCAGGACAATAAACAGCATGAGCAGATAAAACTAATGTAATCAGATTCAGTCCAATTGCTTCCCATCCTGAGCTGCTTTTATTGCTGTGCAAACATGAAATAAACAAGGTGAGAGGCACTTCATTCCTGCAACATCATCATTAACACCTAGGACAAAAACAGCGCTACTTAGGATATAACCACCTGAGACACCCGAGGGGCCAAATTAGGGATCACACATTTACATTTATAAGTGCTATGATGCCCTAAAACAGCAGATGTGCTACTTGTTTAGTCTCATGTACATGTAATTACCAGTTTTCAAAACCTGGAATTACAATTAGAATTTTAATTCAATTTAATTTCTGATCGTTTCATCTCTGGTGAATCCAGTACCCCTGAAAAGCAGTTCCTAAAAATTGGGCGAGTGGGAGTCTGTGGTTGCACAAATATTGACTAGCCATCGAAATGTCCTGAGCTCCATGAGTAAGGCAATTTTGAGCTATATATACAGGAAGTGACCCACACGCAATGTGGGAGGATGCAATGAGTACCTGGACGGGGGCTAATGCAAACATAAAATGTGATCATCTTTTTAAACCAGGGATATATTTATTAAAATGCGATTTTCACAGTTGCATTGTTCACATTTAACGTTAAGTGTGCATTTTTACAAAACATGGCCCTTTGTTCCATAAGGCCAAACAAAAAAACTCTCTGCATGTCCTTGCAGGAACTTTTTGTTCATTCATCTGTTACCCTCCTACAGTTCATGCTCCTTTTAAATTAAAGCAAGTTCTGAATGGTAATCCCATGATATTCTCCTTTCAGTCCATGCTCCTATTAACTTGATAAGAGCATGATCTGCATGGGGTTTTCAGCACTGGTAGAAAGTTCCTGCGAGGACAGCAAAAGAACATTTTACTTAACTTTACTGGTAACACTACTTAATATCTTTTAACACAAAGAACCTTTGGATCTTTAGTTAAAATAGATATTACCAAAATTAAGAAAGCAGTATTTCCCTGCAGGAAGCATCTTCAATAGCAGAGTTCTCCAAATTTTGACACTCAAGATCTTGCTGAACTACAACTCCCAAAATTCTTTGAATTAAATAGTAAGGGAATCAAGGCGTTATACACCTTTAGGGGTTAAACCGTTCAAGGAACGTACCGATTTCAATTCGGTTTTATGAATCAGGAGTCACTGATTGGTTGAGAGCATCAGCTGACCACTCTCAGCCAACCAGCGGTGCCCCTGCCGATGCTGCCTAAGCCTTCTGGTTTCCAGAATTTGAGCAAGATGAAGGAGAGAGGGGCAGAGAGATCCAGCACTGAAACACAGACTTGGGGGTTACACTGTTCGAGAACGGTTTAACGACTAAAGGTGAGCCTGTGCCAAAGACCTCATGACCTCATAACAAGTCATTTTGAAAAAGTTGTTATGGTGCATGGAGGGCTGCTTTAAGGTGTCGATTTAATATTTTTGCATATGCTTTTAAAATAATTTAATATTATGAAAAATATTTTAATATTTTTGATATATATGGCAAGTACTGAATGACTACTGCAACCACTGTCACCTGGTGGCAAGTGACCTGCTTGGAACATGGCAATTCCCAAATGACTTTGGCACCTGCTATCACCTGATGTCAAGTAACCTGCAGCTAGTTACACAGTGAATACAACCACCTGACGGCAAGTAACCTTCGGGGGAATATACCCGATATTAACTGCTTGCAGCCATGGTCACCTGAAGGCAAGCGACCTGCTTCTTTAAACATGGAAGTTACTAAGTGACTCCTGCAACCGCCGCCACCTGATAACAAGTAACGTATAGCTAGCGGCATAGCAGTTACAAAGTAACATCATCTGATGGGAGGTGACTTTCTGGGAAGATGCTGGTAGCATGGATGCTGGAGTGGCAATAGCAGACTCCATCACGTGATCATTATTGAGCAGCTGCTAAAAAAATGGCTGATAATAACAACTACATCTGCCACTGGGAACTTGAAATGACAGATCATAACTATACTTTATTATTATTTTTATTACTATTATTATTATTACAGCTACCACAAGGAGTAACAAATTAATATTTTATTAGGGATGCACCGAAATTTCGGCGGCCAAAATTTTCGGGACAAAATGGGCCTATCCCATTTCGGCCAAAAATAGCTCAAATCTGCCCGAAAATCGGGCACAGTGACTTGTCTATGACCGAGGACCCAACATGGGGAGGGAGCCCGGCAGCTTGCCCTGTGTGCCACCGGGTGCGGGGGAGAGAGCCTGTACAGTCTGCAGCTCCACCGAGTGTGAGCTGCAGACTGTGCTGTAACATTTAAACCACCGCATGCCTAAAACCCTATCCGTTCCCTCACCCGGTAGCTTCGAAGCTGCCTCCTGGAACCACTGCAAACCCTCACTGCCGCTGTCTGTGACAGGACCGCGCACCGCCGCTGCGCTACTGTGTAACCGGACGTGACAAAGTGATGTGTGAGCAGTTGGAAAGCCTGTGGCAAACATACAATCACACCACGAGCTGCAAGTTACAGCCCATCGGCCGTACAGCTCATAAATTAACTTATTATATTCTGCCCGTACCTGCCAATCTGCCCAGACTGCTGATGAAGTGCTTTGTCCTATTACCCAGTCCACTCCTGCATTTCTAAATCTGCTGAGTGCTGACAGATTTCATAATGACCAGATCCTTGGGAGTTGGGACGTACTTTTTGCTGTGCAGTTCATCAAAATGCAGGACTGTCTGAGCAAATTCAGAACCGTTGGCACCTATGTTTGCCACTTCCTGGGGGTTTATTATTAATCAGAATTCCCCTTTAATCCCCCATCAGCTGGCCAGACAGTGTGTACTGATGTATATACCATCAGTGACATATGGTATCTGTCATGTTGTAGTTGTACACAGATTAACGGGCATTAAATAAATTTAATAGAAAATCATCTTCATTTAATGCAATCTAAAGTGAATTGGAATCTAAATTGCACAAATAAATCATTAGATAAAGGGGAAAAAAAACTATTTTAAAAGCATTTGGGGGGAAAAGTTATTTTCGGTTTTGGTTTTCATCCAAGGGCATCCTGAATTTTCGATTTCGGCCCAGAATTTTAATTTCAGTGCATCCTTATATTTTATAAATGCAGTATACACATATAAACCGTATTCAGTGCAGATTGAAGTTGAAAGGTTTGATATTTATATAATTTGCTTTGTCTTATCACCAATACCCTCTCATTACATTTAGCGGTACTTTGGTTAATGCGCTTGTGGTAAAAACATTTTTTTAAATCAGAGCAAAAAAATAGACAAGATAAGATAAATTTGAACAGCATAAAAAAATAATAATAATCCATAATTGTCAAATTAAATAAACAAATACCACAAGCACAGAGTTCCTAGGATTTTAAATCCTTTTATAGGAAAAACCAAGGCAAACAAGTTAGTAGAGAACTCCATGTCCAAATATAATGTATAATGTTTCAAAAACAAAATATTTAATTATTTATGAAATCCTTAGGGAATAATAAGAATAAAAATAAGGATATCACTATAGTGTTTCAGTGTCAAATTCTAACTTTAATGGAAATATTTTATCAATGGCATTCTCACTGCATGGACTTTGTGTAATGAGCT